GAACAATGGACGACGAATTTGGATCACGTTTTGGATGATGAGGCGATCGGGGGTGGGTTTTTTGTGATAATTGTGTATTGATGTTGTTTATTGCTAGTAATAGAACTGTGTAGTTTAATTGTCATGGTATATTGATTGCTGCTGTTTTACTGTCTTTGCTGTTTACTGTCTGGAAACCGCCGTGAGTCGCCCTCGGGCTTGAGATACGGCGGTATACAAGAATAGTAAATAAATAAATAAATAAATAAATAAAACTGTCTTGTGTCATGTGATGTCCTTCTTATCATTATCCTCAGGTGAAAAGCCTCACAAGTGTTGGGATATGGCAAAGATTTCAGCCAGGATTTCAGCTGCATCAACCTCAGTCGGAAACAGATTACCTTCAAGCCCTTTGGCTGTGATCTGTGTGGCAAAGACTTGGAGAGAAAGGTGAATTTGCAGAGACAACAGGTGACAACATGACTAGAAGTGAGGGCCAGACGGAATGAGAGGAAATCAAGAGAAACACTACGCCAAGGCATTTTGCCTTCTTCCTGATGGGTTGCCCAATGACCATTCCTCTCCTCAATGGTCTGGATGTTCGATCCACTTCTAGCTATCTTTTAACTAAAGAGGAAATCACAGTATTGCTCAGTCTTTGACAGAACTCAATCCAAAACATCTTGAGATGAGAGTAAAATACACTGGTTGAAGGATGGCAGGCTGAGCCGTCCACTCTTTTTCTGTCTTTTTTACTTCCCATCAGTTTGAAATCCCAAAGACTTGAGACCTGTGTCCAGTTGTGGAAAAATCTGACTGTTCAATCCTCCTCCATCCATCTCTTTCCCTTTCCTCTCACATGTCCTTCTTCTCTCTCATCATCTACCCTCCCCTTCCTGTCCCCGCCCACTTCAGTCCCCCTCCTCCATGCCCTCCCCCTCCTTCTCCTCCCCTCTCTTCTCCTCTCCCCTCCCTACCCCTTCTCCCTCCCTTCCCCCTCCCCTCCCCTCCCCTCCTCCATCCCCTTCTCCCTCCCTCCCCTCCCTCCCTCTCCCTCCCCCTCCTTCCCTCCCCCTCCCATTCCATCCCTCTCCATATCTGACACACCACAACATCACACAAGACATTCCCATTGCACAGAACACACATCTCAGATGACACATAATACACACACCTCATACACCAGACAAACCACACACATCACACACCACATACATCTTGCCCTTTTCATATTGCGCATTTTGTATCACATGCATCACACAGAACAAGTACATCACCCAGAACACATACCACACACACAGAACACACAAACCTCATGCACCAGACAAATCACACACATTACACACCACACAGCACATACACCATGAATACCTCTCACACATTGCTCATCTCATATCACCCTTACCATAACATATTTTCTCTTTTCTCCCTTTTTCTTTTTTATATCTTTCTGTCTTTCTATTTTTCCTCTTTTATCTCTTTCTCATCACACACTATATACGTCTCACATACCTCACACATCTCACTCATCTGTCTCCTTTCTCTTATCTCCTTCCTCTTCTTTCTGTCTGTTCTCTCTCCTCTCCAATTTCCCTCTTCTCTATTCACTTTTTTCTTTTCTCCTTCTCTTTTGGCCTTCTCATTTGTTTACTCTTTCTCTTTCTCTTTTTTTTCTCCTCCTCTTTTTCCATATTCTTTGCTTTCTATTTTTCTTTTTGCCTTTTCTTTCTCTCTCTCTTTGTCTCTCTGTCTCTCTTCCTTTCTCTTTCTGCTATTCATCCCAACCCTTCCCTTTCTCCTTCCTTTCCCCATTCCCTTCTCCACCCCTTCTCCACCCCTTCCCTTCCCCTTCCCTTCCCTTCCCCGTCCCTTCCCCTTCCCCTTCCCCTCCCCCATCCCTTTCCCTTTTCATTTCCCTTCCCTTTCCCTTTCCCTTCCCTTCCCCATCCCTTCACCTTCCCCTTTCCCTTCCCCGTCCCTTCCCCTTTCCCTTCCCTCTTCCCTTCCATTCTCCTACCCTTCGCCCTTCCCCTCCCTTCCCTCCCCCCTCCCCTCCTGGTTTCCCCTCCTTCTCCCTTCTCTCCTTTTCCTTCCCTTTCCCTTTCCCTTTTCCACAGCATCATCCTGCCACTCTTTAGCTGCCCACTTGCAGAGTTCAAGTTATTTATTCTTCTTCAAAAAGACTGAGATGATCAGCAAGCATGCCTTATACAGGAAGTCACCACCTTTGATTTTCAACTATTGCAAAAATTTTTTTACAAGTGGCTGAAAAGGAAGAGGCTGAAAACAAAAGAATATCAGAGTATTTTGCGATTAAGGACTGATGTGGTGTATCCTTAAGTCAAAAGGGAAGCAACCCATGCACAGAAACAGACCTTCCTTCTGAAATGGTGGTTGGTGGTTGAAGTGTGGAGGGATGGGGATGTTGCTTTTGTGATGTGTGTTGGGGAAAGCATTTCCCTTCGTTATACAGTGTACAGTGACAATAAAGTTATTCTATCTTTCTAAATACTTTAAGCTTTCTATGGTCATTGCACAATTAAGTGAGAGGTACCAACGTGCTTCTGATACCCTGGTGTACATATGTGGGTGAAATGGTCTGAAATGACCCTGTGTCTGGAATGACCAAGGAATTTGTGTCTATGGGTTTGCCTTAACTAATTCTCTGCATATCTATTGTGGAGGAGGGGATAGTAGGGACTGCACATTCCTTTATTTACTTTTACTGTGTGTTCTTATGTTTTTTGTGTTTTCAGTCTAACCATGTGTTCTTATGGGATATATGCCTGTAATTAGTAATTGGTAAAGAAGAGAATATACTCATGAGTACTAATTATTTCAACATAAAACATTACCCACATTTTTACTATGGTACTAAAATGGATGTCTTTGGAAACCAGAGCCACTAATCACTGGAATCATTCCTCCAGGGACATTGAAGTTACAGCACAAAGTATTTTCCACTATGGAAAGAACAGTAGGACACCCATGTTTACACAGATAATCATCTGATAACAGTAAGGCCACCCAGCCCAACCCCTTTCCGCCAGGAAGGAAGACCAGGGGAAGCCCTCCCAGAAGATGACCTGTTCCGTCTTCCAAGAACATAGTTTGCATTACCTTTTAGTTGCATGGGATAGTGTTCCTTTGCATTTTCCCAGGGTTGCTACAGACCCAGGAGCACCCTGGAAGTTAAACAGTATCAGAGTCTGGAAAGCCAGCCTGCAGGCCCTTTTGCAGTTATTGGTTTAGAAAGTATCTCTTTGGGTCTAGGGACCGCCTTTTTTCCTGGGTTGAGATCTCCATTTTGGAATCTCCCCTGCCTCCTACTGTAGAGAAAGAAATCTTCAGATGTGCTGTTGGTCAGACAGGTAGCTCTGAAAAATCATTGTAAGTACGATTGAGTTATATAGATAAAGAAGCTAATTGAGATAGATAGATAGATAGATAGATAGATAGATAGATAGAATAGCGATTGAGTAATATTGGGCCTAATTGAGTTATAGATAGCAACTGAGATATAGAAAAGTTAATTGAGTAACTAAGTCATATAGATAGCAAGAAAGATAGAGAAGCTTATTGAGTCATAGATAGATATTGAGTTATTGAATATTATTGAGCATTACTTCTTCTCCAAAGCTAACTTTGAGCTATAGATAGGGGAAAACCTGTTTTTTCTAACCATAGCAGCTCAAGGTTAAGGTGAAAGGATCCCAGGATATTTTCTACCTTTTGGGGAAAAGCTACCTCATTAACTGAAGGAAAGGAAAGGAAAGAAAGATCATCTCTATAGTTTCACCAACTGTTTTGTTTGTAACTTTGACAAGCTGTGTCAAGTCTGCGAGGACTTTGAGAAATAAATATTCTGTTTTGGTGTTCAAAACGTGTAGTAGCCTCAGTTTCTGGGAATCTCAAGCTTCTAAAGAAAGACCACCACAGTCTGCCCAGACAAAGAGAGAAGCACATCTTAGTTTTATTTTTATAGGGTCTAGGTGTGATGGCACATGCCCATCCAGCCTGTTTAAATAGCTCCAGGGGATGAGATGCCAAAGATGAGATGATCTCATCCAGGGGATGAGATGCCCCAAAGGCCATCTGACCCAGCCCTCTCCAGCCAGCGAAGAAGCTTAATCACTACAGAAGCGGAGAGGTGGTGTTCTTCAAGTGGAGATACACTTTTACAACTTGCACAATGTGTTGATTGAGTTGCAATAAGTACCACTAAAATGGATAACTTTCTTATTAAAAAAGGAAATAATTTTCATGTGTATTTTCTAAATCTAAGCATAGCAAAATGTGTACACTATTTTGAAAGACTACATTTTATGTCTAACGACATTCATATTTTGCTTCATTTATGGAATTTGCAGATTGGATTGCAAAATTCAGAAAACTACAAATATGGTCATGTAATTGTTTTCCTGGGGAACAATTATGCTGGGGAAAATGGAAGGAAAAAGGAAGAGGGGCCGGCTAAGGGCAGGAGGGATGGATGGTATCCTTGAAATGACCTGCTTGACCTTGAAGGAGCTGGGGATGGCGACTGCCAACAGGGAGCTCTGGCGTGGGCTGGTCCATGAGGTCACGAAGAGTCGGAAGCGACTCAATGAATGAACAACAATTGTGTTTCGTTCTGTGTGCAAGTGGGGCAGTATGAGTTTAATAAGTTTCCATTAAGATGGGGAAAACAAATGATTTTCTCAGCCATCTTTATTTAGTAACAAACCAGTTATTTAGTAAGCTTAGCATCTTGTAGAGCTTATATTTTTGATTTATGGTTTCTGGGGTTTTGCTTAATGTTATTCAATAAGCTGAGGCATTCTTTCACTCTACAGGCCTGTCAATTCTTCTCACACACCTCTCTTTCCCTCTGTTTTTCCTGCCTGCTCTTTCTGTGCCAAATTGTACATTGTGCATCCATTAGGGGCCGGGACCTGTCCTCCCTGCAGAGCATTATGCACACTGATGACACCACAGCAATAAGTCAAAAAACAGCAGACACAGTAATAACAATACAGTAGTACAGTAAAAAATTCTGCCTTTATTTTATGCATAAACAATTTGAAGAGGAAAAGGAGAGCAAAAAAGGGGGAACGTTAAAACTTCAGGAGGGAATTGACTTCTGAGCATTAACTCAAAAACTAGCCGTCCATGAATAACATACAGCAGGCAACTCCAGCTAGGCCTGGCAGCCCATAACTGTTAATGAAAATGACAACTGGTCAAAATCATTGCAGAGTGTCTGAAATTCTTCATCTTGGCATTCATCCTCACTTGGCCACCTCTCAATCCAGGTATCTTTGGTTATGAGGTAGTAGATACTGGAAAAGATCAAAAGAGTAGAGTTCTGAATCTTTGCAGAAAGGTAAATTCATTAACAAGAAAGCTGTGGAAGAAGAAAGAGGACTACCCAAACTGGACTGAAGTGAATAAGGACCATTCCTCAGCCACTTCACACACCTTGAAATGGCCAGTTTTTATTAGGGGTGTATTTTGGGGTGACAAATTTGTTGAGAGGGCTGCTCTTTTTTTTTTTTTGTCTATTTCGGAGGCATTTGTAAATTTAGAAAATATAAAATGGCTATTGACAAGAAGAGCACATTAAGGTTTTTGTAGGTCCAAGCACTCTGGCATTCGACTACTTCTCTTATGTCACTAGGGATAGACAGACATCATTCCAAAAATTGTTCATTGGAACTCTATGAGATTCAAAACACACATATCCTTTATAAAATGAAAGTCAAAAAAAATCTTTTTTTTTAATCTTGTGGTTTATTTTCTCAATTTCTATTTTTTATTAATTCTGTTTTTGTGGGTCTGACAATTTTTAGACCTTAGGCACTATATCTAAAGCAGTGGTTCCCAACCAGCGGTCCACAAAAATGAAAATACAGTCCACGGCCTCACAATTAATACACCGTTGCTTTGAAACCATGTGGCAACGAGAGCGATCTGTCTTGCAAAACTCTCTCATAGTGCTGAGGCAACAGGGATGTCAGGAGGGAAGACTACCCACAAAAGATTACTACTATCACATCAGCTCTAGATTATTAAAAACGGTTTTCTGTGGGCGAGCAGATGGCATAGGTTCAGTATCAGAAACTAGAGCTGATTTGGCCTATCCACTGAAATGTTCTGAATCAGCACCCCAAATAACTAAATCAAATCTAAAGTTGACCAAAAACTGATCCATAACCCTTTTGGCACTAATGTTGGAGAGTGGTCCCTGATGAACATGGTCCCTGGTCAAAAAAAAAAAGGTTGGAAACTACTGATCTAAAGTAACTAATGGATAAGGCCACTCAATGAGTGGCAAAGGAAGATGGTGCTTCCTTTGCCACTCATTAGTCAGTCTCTAATGCAAGGGTAAGGAACTGTTTTATTCTGCAGAACCAGATTGACCCCAAGATTAGTCTGGTAAACTAGACAGAGTTAGGGAGTGGGACTCAACTCCAGGGCCCCTCCTTTCACTTGGCAGTAGCACCATTTGACCTTTCTCCTTCCTTAGTGTCCAATGGCACTTTCTCCATTCCTCTTACTTATTTTGAAGAAATTGGTTTCGACCATGTCTCCCTCTTAGCGAGACACACACTACTGGAGGAAAGTTCCCATTAAAGCATTTTTTTTTATAGTTCAAGATGGGAGAGATTCACCTAACTGGGAGAAGGTAATTGCCTTCCTAACTGAAAAAATAAATGTCATTTTTGCTCACTGGCTAGAGACAATAATAAATAAATAGAAGCAAAGTATACATCTACTAAACCAATGAAATGAAATGCATACTTATTCGTTGTGGGCCACAGATCACTGCGGACACCCCAGATCAGGTAATCATTGTTCATCTTCAGATTCAGAGTTTCCCTGCATTTCATCTGGCTAATAAACCTGCGAGGACTGGCTTCTGGATTTGGATCACTTCCTGGAGGAATCACACAAAACAGTGCAAATATTTGCATCAAGACAGTGAGTCAATTAACTGGTTTAACTGACAGATAGGTTGAATAGTAGATGACATATCAGTCAGTTCAATGCTAAGGCTTCCTGCCAAAATGGAACTGTAGAGGAGAGTCTACTGAACAAGCCAGTACCTGCCGCATACCAGTACTGCCATCTGTTGAGGAGTTACGAAGGTGAAGGCATTACTTTTCATTCAACCCTTGTATCACTCGGTATACCGTATATACTCGAGTATAAGCCGACCCGAATATAAGCCGAGGCACCTAATTTTACCACAAAAAACTGGGAGGTATTGACTCGAGTATAAGCCGAGGGTGGAAATGCAGCAGCTACTAGCAAATTTCAAAATAAAAATAGATACCAATAAAATTATATTAATTTAGGCATCAGTAGGTTAAATGTTTTTGAATATTTACATAAAACTGTAATTCAAGATAAGACTGTCCAACTCTGATTAAACCATTATTCTAACCTTCTTCAATGTAAATATGCTTACATGTCCTCCAATAATAATAAATAGAATAAAATAATAATAGTAATAGAGTAAAATAATAAATGTAACAATAACAATAATAAATAGAGTAAAATAATAAATGTAACAATAACATCAATAATAAAACAATAAATGTTATTATAATAATAATAACAACAAAGTAAAATAATAAATAACATTGATTCGAGTATAAACCGGAGGAGACTTTTTCAGCCTAAAAAAAGGACTGAAAAACTAGGCTTATACTCGAGTATATACAGTATATTCAGTTGCCTGCATTTGCATAGCTTTCTCATTGTGTCAAAGTCTTTTGTGGACTCTCGCAATCTCTTTGCATTGTCTTAGGCCCCTTCCACACAGCTGAATAAAATCCCACATTATCTGCTTTGAACTGGAATATATGGCAGTGTGAACTCAGATAGCCCAGTTCAAAGCAGATATTGTGGGATTTTCTGACTTGATATTCTGGGTTATATGGCTGTGTGGAAGGGTCCTTAGTCTCAGAGAAAGGCAAAAACAACCCCCTCTGAACAAATCTTGCAGCAGCAACAACAAAATCTTCATAGGGTTGCCAAAGTCAAAGTTGACTTGACACCATATAACACAAATGAATATGAGATTACAAAGCTGTAGCTGTTTACAGAAAACATTCCTGCTTTTATATCCAGTAAGCCAATTCCCACAAGATGGGCCTTTTTACCTTCTTTAATCTTTTCCAGAACTTGCATGAAATAGTTGTCATAAGCACTTTCCTCTTCTATTCGAACCAGCTTGGCTTTGTATACTTCAAAACAGAGAAATTTAAGATGTTTAGTTGTTTTACTTCACAAAAGCCTTAATTTTTTTGACATCATTGCTGGTGCTGATGAAGATATTTTATAAAGATGAACAATTTCATTGCAATCAGAAACTGGTAAATCCAAAGCCAGATTTAACTCTCCAATACATGATTTGCTTTGTTTCTCATCACAGGAGGCCCAAAATACACCAAGCAACTGCAATGGACAAGGCCAACTGGTCTTATCAAAATTAAATGTGAATCAGCTGTCCCAGTTTGTGAATTTGGGCTGGTGTGTGTTGACTATTTGCATTCTCACTGAGTCACTGCCACATTAATGGCGTTCAACCATGTAGGATGTGCTCACCATAATCCACGCCTGCTTCGCAGGCCAGTTGACTTCGTCGCAGCAGATTGACATCTGTTTCTATATTGTTGAGCAAAGAGCAGCTTTCTTTGGGAGAAGAACATAAAGGAAGAGAGCAGAAAATAAAACACATGAACAAGATCCCTAAAGCCTGTCTTTGTGTCTGAGTTAGGTCTGGGTAACAACGGAAAAATTTGTTTCTAAACTCGTTTCGTTTTTAGGGGTCCATTGCGTTTCGTTTTTTTAAAGAATTCTGAAATTTTCCTTTTAAAAATTTCGAAATTTATGAAATTTCGTATAATTACGAATCGATTCGTTAATGGCGGACAGCGATTGCGCAATATGCTAAAAAAAACCTCCAAATGGGACAGGGGGAACTTCTGAAGCTTCCCTCTCCCTCTGTTGTTGACTGTTGGTGTGATAAAACAAACAACAACTATAAAACTTGCACCAGACATGCGAAAATAATTACGAAATAATTACAAAATAATTTCGAAATAATTTCGAAATAATTACGAAATAAATTGAAAAAATTGTTTCGAATCTAATTTACTCCTCACACTATTCCTGCATGGCTCAATATTGGATTGTAATCTAATTTAAATACGAATTAATAACGAATTACGAAATTAACGAACGAAACCACCCAAACCTAGTCTGAGTGTATCTCTAGGGAGCAGGCCTGTTTTAGGTTACCTCAGAGGGTAGGATTAGGTCTAATGTTTTCAAGTTACTGAAGAGTAAATATCAATTGAACATTAGAAGAAATGGCTCAACAGCAATGGAATGAATTGCCTAGAGAGATGTGGGATCTCCTTCTCTTGACATCTTCAAAAAGAGGCTGGACAACCACCTTCTGGGGATATTCTATCTGGAGATCCTGTACTAAATGAGGGATTTCACCAGATGGCCCGTGAAATCGCTTCCAGCTCTAAGAGGCTATGACATTATTCCCAGAGTGTGTTTAAGTGCCTTTGGAGAGTGACCATATATCCTATTTCTGTCTGTTCCATCTACAGAGTCGTCCTCATGATGTGCTTTCCCCTCGTCCATAATGAAGCCCTAACCCCACTGTTCGTCCCTTTGAGCTCCTCCCTTACAAATACACTTTTCCACTCCTATCTCATCCAGGGTTTATTTATTTATTTACTATGCTTCTATACCGCCATTCTCAGCCCGAGGGCAACTCATGGCGATTTACAAAGCGGCACAATTTGATGCCCACAGCCAGGCATGTAGCCAAGCCCCCAAAGCCCCCCCCCCTGAGATTCTCATCGTGGTCTGTGAACAGGCCTTACTGGTACATTATTTAAACTGTTATGTTTATTCATATCATGATCTGATCACCATGCTCTATATATCCCATATGCATGGGGGTATTGAGGTAACAATACAAAAGGTTTGCTAGGGTTGACCCTCTTTTACTCAGACTCACCCCCCCCCCAACCAAACTCCCCCCTCCCCGAATCAAAATCCTGGCTACAGGCATGCCCACAGCAGTACAAAGATAATTTAAACATTAAAACATTTAACATAGATACAAATTCATTACAAATAACATCAATAAAACATAATAAAAAAACATAAGTCCTCCACATTTCATAATCCAGCCGCGTTGTCCAACCGTTCCGAGATCAGAGTTCAACTGCGTTTGGGAAAGCCTGCTCATATAGCCAGGTTTTAACTTTTTACGAAACGTTAAGAGGGTGGGGGCCGATCTAATGTCCCTGGGGAGGGCATCCCACAACCGAGGGGCCACCGCTGAGAAGGCCCTGTCTCTTCTCCCCGCCAGTGAAGATGAATGCAAACTGTTTATGGTGATTGTGTTGATGTGAGTACTCTGCATCATTGGGCAAGTAAGTTTAAATATGTTGAGGTGGGAACATCTGACTTGCATGACAAACAAAGAGTTGGACATCCTGTGACAAGCAAAAGGTTGGCAGATTGATTCAGGATGATTGTTGTATCACTCAAAGAGAAATTTCAAGCATAGGCATTTCATAAGAATGTGTGGGTCACATTATTGCTTTGCTTGGCTCTCGGAAGATCTATGAACTATGGGTTGCGAAAACAGAGTGTTGACTTCTGTGATAGCTTCAGAAAACTTGTTCATCGTTGACAGAAATTTATCCAATTATCTGGTGATTATGCGGAAAGGTGAATAGTGGTAGTTAAAGAGCACATTCTAAGGATTATTTCTGTGTTTGATTTATTAAAATATTCCCATCCAAACCCAAATAACGAAGGTGGAGGTATTACTTTTCATTCAACCCTCATATATCCGGAAAGCACAAACATTACAATTTTAAAATGTTCATATATTCACTTGTCAAAAGCAAATCCTTCTTCTGGGACAGCAGAAGTATCATCTTCCCACCTCATCTTACCTTCTGCACATCGGCAAATATCACCATGGCATATCTTACTAAAGAGACCACTTTCTTTGGGAAGATGGTAGAACTTGATGCACTGCTCATCTGAGAAAGAGAAATGAAACAAGATGCAATTTACTTCATATGGGGACTCCTGCACACTTCAGTTCCCTGAATGAGCAACTTAGGAAATGCACAGAACATGAGTGGGAGGACCTATTGCTCAAAATGGAAATCTTAGTAACACATCACTATGCTTTATGTAATGGGGATTCAATTTTCAGATTGTGCGTTTTGCATGGTAGTAGGTTGGACTGGTTGGACCTTGTAGTTCCTTCCAACTCTATAATTCTATAATTCAATAAGGGAGCAGGCAGGCTGAACAAGATTCGTTGAGCACATTCTTCAGTGGAGAGATCCATCCCATTTTCCCCTGTTCTCCATACTTTGGTTTGGGGCCCAGAAGTGTATTTTGTAATGGCAACTGGTTAGCTCAATGTCACTGGGTGAACTGGCATCAAGTTTTACTATGAAATTTTGAAGGAAACTGAAAGCAAGGTTTTCACCATGCCTTGAATTAACGTGATATGATTTTGAAGACCATACCGAGCCCCTCAGAGACCATCAGCTGGCCCTGGTTTTATTTCCTCCCCTTTGATTCACGTTTCTTTATGTTGTGTTTGGGCAACACAGTTTGTGTTATGAAAGCTGTTTGCAGAGTTGAGTTCTTAACCAGAATGGGTCATGGCTTTCTTCACCTTGGCTTTCTTGATTCATATATCAAGGATGAGAGTGGGAGAAGGGACTGTCAGAAACACCTGAAGTAACTGTATGTGAAATCCCAATTGGCCTTCAAGCTGTCCAGCTGGCCTCCTTGTGCTGAGTCCCCTAGAAGAATTGTGATAGCCATTACCTAGATTATAATAGCTGTACACCTTCACGGATGCTGGCTGAATGAGACCGACTTCAAAAAACTGATGAGCTTTAAACTGCACACATTCATCAGTTAAGTGAGAGACCTGGGGATGTGGGGACAAAAAGGGAAAACAAGTCTTTGGGTATCAGCCTGCCAATGGAGGCATTTCCCACAATTACAGATTTCCTAAACTAGCTTGAGGAAACTATTCCATGCTTTGTTGTATTTAACAGGTTAACCCAAGGATTATTTTTAAAAATGGAATCGAAGGTTTATGGGATTAAAGGACATAATAAGAACAGCCCACGTGTGAGAAAGACTAGTAGATTAGAATGACCTGCTCATTCAACAGGAACCTGTCAATCATGGGGAGCAGCACTGAACCTGGCACTTTGGCCATATATTGTGTCCCACTTAATGTTTTTGGATAAATATCAGAAAGATTCCCCAACTCCAATCAGAACTCACCATGAAAGATGAAGAATGAATATCACTTTGAGAAAATGGTAGGATATACATTCAAAACATTCAGTACATAAATAAATTTACTTAGCACTAGGTGATCCACAATGTCTTGATTGGCATTGCCAAACTTCTTAAAATTTCTTAATGGCAAAGTTAACATGATGAGATAAGTTCAGACATCAGTCTAAGTCAGTGTTCTCAACCTTGGGTCCCCAGATGTTTTTGGCCTACAACTCCCAGGAATCCTAACAGATGATAAACTGGCTGAGATTTCTGGGAGTTGTAGGCCAAAAACATCTGGGGACCCCAGGTTGAGAACCATTGGTCTAGGTGGCCACTAATCACTGATTATGGTAGCACTAGATCCCATCCGATTGTGCAGCTAAGCAAGGTCAGTTCTGGTCATATGGGAGGTCATTAACAAATACCTAGTCCTGTAGGCTCTATTTCAGATGAAGGAAATGAGTATTTCTTGTATAAGAAATCTCTGTAAAATTAGAGTGATTGTAGTAAGCTAAGAGGCAACTTGAAGGCACAGAACCTTCTCCTACAGAGTTTGATGCAATTAGAGATGCCTTGTGACAACAAAATCCTTGTCTGAATATTTTGAGAAGAGAAAATTAGATTTTAAAATGTAGATATCCACACCAGTGTTTGAAAAAGTAATTTCTCTACACCTCTACACTATCCTTCACAGCTGGAAAGGATAGTGGTGTTGTTGTTCAAAAATGTCACTTTTTCCAGCTCTGACTCATTTCATTGAAATGCCTTCATTCATAATCTTTGCCATAACGCACACCAGCTCCTGCATGTTTATAAATTAGCTATTGAGTGTTACCTTGTCCAAGTAAATGATAAGATTCCCCCTGTCAGAGTAGCCTTTGTCAATTTCATAACTGGCGATAAATCTGTCAACTCCTCTAGAAAGCTAAATGTTGGGAAAAGTAAAAGAGACATTATTGATACATGGTACATGCCATCCTGTAAGACCAGATTTGGCTGTTCTTTCTGTTAGTGACAAACATTCAAAGTAGACTTGTCATTACACAAGCTCATTATCTTGTGTTACCGCTTTGCTTTCACAAAGTTTTGATGGGTGATGCGGAGGTTGAGGTGAAGCTCTCCCAGTTTCATATTGAGGACATTACCACATGCTTGCTGCTATCCTGAAGTGTTCCTCTGACTTTGGATAGTAACAACATCACAATTACAGGCAGCATCACGCAAGTGATAGGTCCCAGGATCATGGTGTGATAGGTGCTTAGGGTAAATTCAAGAACCCTGATGGCTTCTTTGGGGGAGGTTGCAGACCAGCTATCAGTATTACATTTATTGCTTTGGTGCTACTGTGCCAGTTAGCCATTTCCACGTGATAAAGGTTTATTGCTACTTTAAAAAAATTATCCAGATATATTGGGCTGCAACTTCCCTATACTTATGTATGGGAAATAAATTTGCCTCTTTGTAAAGCTTAGGTTGTAGTAGTTACAGATGCCTGACATGTCTATAAGGCAGCTGACTAAGTTTGCTGAATAGCTCACTAGTAGGGCTGGGCAACCATGGAAAAATTTGTTTCTAAACTCGATTCGTTTTTAGGGGGTTTTTGCGTTTCGATTTTTAAAAGAATTCTGAAATTTTTCTTTAAAAAAGTTCGAAATTTACGAAATTTCGGAAATTACGAAACAATTACGAAACAATAACGAATCGATTCGTTAATGGCGGACGCGACCGCGCAATACGCTAAAAAAAACCTCCAAATGGGACAGGGGGGACTTCTGAAGCTTCCCTCTCCCTCTGTTGTTGACTGTTGGTGTGATAATTTTTTTTCACTGATTAAACAAACAACAACTATAAAACTTGCCCCAGACATGCGGAAATAATAATGAAACGATTTCGAAACGATTTCAAAACGATTTCAAAACAATTACAAAACAATTACGAAATGAATTGAAAAATTCGTTTCGATTTTTAGTTGCTCCTGAATGGTTCAATATCGCTTTGTTATAAAAAAAATAATGAATTAATAACGAATTACGAAATTAACGAACGAAACTGCCCAGCCCTACTCACTAGATTAATTCTTTAAAGAAATGATTCCCAAAGTGGGCATTACCGCCCCCTGGTGGGCGCTGCAGTAATCAGGGGGGGGGGGGCGGTAGTGGCCACAGGTGCATTTGGGGGCAATGAATAACTGTAAGGGGGTGGTAAAAGCATAAAAGAAAGAAGAGAAGATTTAGAAAAATTGATTTCCAGGGGGTAGGCCAAATAAGTTTGGGAACCACTGCTTTAAAGCATAGACTCAAACCTGGCAAAGATTCACCACCCCACTGACAAGGAAACCACCAGCTACTACTGTACATAACAGCTAGTGAATTCTCTTACTAACAGGGAGGAAAGGAATGTTTGAGAATGTTACAAAATGAAACCTTGACAAGAAGAATTCTAGAAGATTAAGACTCTTTGCACTTTAGGACTTATTACATGTTCGTGTACAAAAATTACATCCCCCCCCCCCCACTACCACTAAAAATAGTATTTTGGTGCTGAAAACAAGCATCTTACACATAAAACAGCCTTTTGTGTAGTAATGTTGGCTGGCATCCTGCTCAGCAATTATGAAGGTATATGATAATTCACGTTTCCAGTCTTGAATAACTGAACATCACCCCAAAACTTTATTTTTCCAGCCTTGAAATGCCCTATTTCAGAGGCACTGGAGGGATCTGCAATGCTTCCTTGGTTGCAGACTGGATTTAGACAAACTGTTCTGGAGGAGGCCAAGCGAGAGCGCTTCAGTTACCCAGTTTTGACATGCTCCGTGACCAGAAGAGCTCTGTAGGCATCATGCCTCAGTGTCCCACTCTCCAGTGCTTCGGAAATGTTTATGTTGGGATGTTGCTGCACTGGAAGAAGTATTCTGGTGTAAAGAGCAGTCTGGGCAGATGTAACTATCATATTGGTGACAATTGTAGCTAAAAATCTTATTTTCTGCACAAAAAATACTATATCAGTGGTGGCCCCTCATCTGTGGAACTCACTCCCGGGGGGAATCAGGGCATCAACATCCCTCCTCGCCTTCAGGAGGAAGGTAAAGACGTGGTTGTGGGACCAGGCCTTTGGGCAATCTGACAATTAGATATGGAAACCAGATGGATAGGACTGAAAGGACTGACAATTGTGGAATTGGAATTTAACTATGAGATTGTGAAACGCTGACCGTCAATGAGGTTTGTATTGGTTTTATTGTTTTTATGGTTTTTTTTGCCTATAATAATTATTGTTTCTGTTAATTGTTGTTATTGCTAGAATTGCTGTCTTTGTTAACTGATGTTATTGTCTTTTGCTGTTATGTGATGCGGGCATCGAATTGTGCCTTGCTTTTGTAAGCCGCCCTGAGTCCCCCCCCGGGGTGAGAAGGGCGGGGTAGAAGCAACCGAAATAAATAAATAAATAAATAAATAAATAAATAAATAAATATTGTAAGTGCTGCTTTTTGTGTTTTCTGTATAGAAAATACTACATTGTAAAATTTGCACAGAAAATGCCATCTTCTACGTAAAACAGATTGAAAAGAATAGATGCTGCAGTGTGAGTAATCTCTGAGAATTATACCAGTTTTGATTACTTTTTCACAATAATTAGAAGAGTGGTATCATTATTCATTCTTGAATGATACAATTTCTGAAAACTACACATATCAGTCCCCTCTTAAAATGTCATATTTTCCCCAGTATTTTTAGTAAAACATTCCCAATAGTTTCAATCATATTTAACTTCATTTATCCCCATTCAACCAACCAATTGCCATTTCTTTACTCCTTCCTCTTTCCCTTCTCTGATTCAGGATTAGTTTTCTGACTGTATGTTCCCTGTTGGCTGGAACCCAACTACAGTACAGTAAAATCAAAATTATATAATAAAAGATTATTTAAAAAGAATATCTGTGGGGAAAATTCAACCTAGGGAAATGTTATATCTCTTTGTGCAGATCCAAATTTCATGTTTGAAAGTTTTGATTGACTGCAAAGAAATTCTAGCCCCATAGAATCAAAGGATAAGTTAAGCAGCCATTTCCTGCATATGACAAGTCTTACTTACCCTGTTAAGGTCGTCAATGTCAGGTGCAAAACCAGTGAGCATGGAGACATCAATGATGGACATGGCGGCATCAACTTTACCAAGATATCTAGAATCAGGAGGAGAGAAAAACGGCCAGAAAGATTTTAGCAATGGATTTGTTATCAGGCTGGTAAGATCAGTTCTTCATATTTTCAAAGTGATTCTGTCTGAGAGGTAAAAAGTGGGATCTAGCGTATGTTTATTGACTAATGGAATCACCAAGACCCTTGGTTACCAAAATAATTTTGATACAGATTTATGAGTTGTCTAAATCTATGCACATATGTTGAGAATCATCATTTTTAGATAGTGAACATGTTGCCTAAATGGACAAGTGGATGAGAAAAAGGGAATGTAACATTTGCCTGGCTTTTATTTAGTTGTCTATTGCTCATTGTCAATTGGGAATCAATTGGGAAACCTGAAAATCTGCAGCACTTTACAATCAATTGTCTGTCCACACTTTACCTCTCCACTGTAGGTCAAGGTGAAGAACCCATGCCCTTCCAGATGCAGCGAACTACAGTTCCTCTCAGCCTTAGGCATATAGCCCAATAACAAGAGATGATGACTGCAGTTTGCCAACACCCGGAGGAATAGATACACATTTTTTCTCTATTCAAGGCAAAATGGTGTAATTCTGTGCATAGTAGGCTAAAGTGACAGTTTATCAATGTCAGTGGGAAAATCCAGAGTTCTCCAATTGCTGTCTTTTAGCTTCTAATGCGTTCCTCTCCAATCAATGTAGTCTGGCAGTAGGATATATTCAATTGCTTTGCAGACACAACAAGTCTCAAACATGTGAAAGCAGAAAACATTTGGAGAAGGTTCACTAAGAGAGTTCCTTGTCAAGCAATAATTTCTGCTCCTTCAATATGAATCTCTCGTTATGATTCGGCCCAGCACTCTCACCTGGTACAGATTCTGATCTCAACAGCTTGTAGGGATCCCTTTAGCTCCTTTTGACCTAGAAATTGTTAAGACAAAAGGGGAATTAATCGCTACTCAAATAAACTCCATGCAACACGAATCAATTGATGTGTTATGATAAATACTCATTTTAAACTCCCACTCTATTTCTACCTTTTGTTTAGTGTATTTTAATATGTAATTGATGGAAATATATTTTAATGTGTATAATCTATAGAGTGTTTAAAAATAATTATGCATTTGATTATGTGTTTTAGCAATGTTGTAACCCACCTCGAGCCGTGAGGAGAGGAGGGTAAGGAATGAAATAATTATAATTATAACACGTCAAACTATTCTGGGACATCCGAATTCAGACCGACAGAGTTTTGGAGCACAATACTCCTGACCTCACGATCGTGTTAAAAATACAAAGTATGGATCGTTGATGTTGCCATCCCAAGTGACAGAAGGATTGAAGAGAAACAACTGGAAAAGCTGAAACGACACGAGGATTCAAAGATTGAACTGCAAAGACTCTGGCACAAGCCAGTCAAGGTGGTCCCAGTGGTGATCAGCACACTGGGTGCAGTGCCTAAAGACCTTGGCCTGCACTTAAACACAATTGGCGCTGACAAAATTACCATCTGCCAGCTGCAAAAGGCCACCCTACTGGGAACTGCACACATTATTTGCCGATACATCACACAGTCCTAGACACTTGGGAAGTGTCCAACATGTGATCCAATACAACAGGTAGCAGAGTGACCATGTTTGCTGTGTACTAATCTTGTTGTGTTTCAAATTATTATTATTATTATTATTATTACTACTACTACTACTACTACTACTACTACTGCTACTAGCCTTGATTGTCCAAGTATCCATGAGAAAAATATTCCTCTGCCACCTACTTTCTACATTGCTAACAATCCAGTAATAGGCCCTTTCTATCCACACGGGCAGACTTTTACAACATACTTAATGTTAATGGTCTGCATTCTAGTTTGTGTTCTAATTAATGAAAAAAGGAGACTTGCTTGCATACCTGGTCTAAAACAAAAGCTTGCACTGTCCTTTATGGCCACTGTTTTTAAATGCTGAGTTTGTACCCCTGAACCTATATTGCTATCCATCTACTTCAGTTCTACTTTAATGTCAGAAAGTAAAAAAAATCCCTTTTTTATGGGAATCTCTTTCATCAGTCAACTCAACTTTTCAATCCTATGCTGCAATTCTGAAAATAACACAATGTAACAAAATATTCTGTTCCTGGTTTGAAAGTGTTATTTCCTGTTTAATTGTGTGGTACTTACTTTGAAAGCAGTTGTTATACTCCAGAAACTTTTTTGTTTTTTGTGGTGTCACAAACTACGTTGAATTGGTTGAGACTCTATGAGATATACATTAAAAACTATAGCAAAATGTGCTGCTCTCACAAACACAAAGTTTTTGCAGTTTAATAAACTTTTCTCATGTTTTTATTATAAAACCTATTAGGAAATGACATTTATAACCCAGGAACAAAAAATGTGTTATATAGTGTAACGAAAGCAAAAATCCCGAAAGGATAATTGTAAAACTGAAAAAAAATCCGGAACACAGGAAGCATCTTATTTAGCACATACAAACTTCCTACAGCTTTACATTGTGAAAGCACTGTAATATTTATGAATGGTGCTTAAATAAGAGTTTCAATGCTAGTTGCAGCTCCCTTAAGAGTTCCAGTTTTCAATCACATCCATTTTGAGACACACAAAAAATATCAACAGAAAGTCCAATGATTAGTGATGGGTGGGACAAGAGGCAGCCATTGTCAATCAGTTACTAGGCTTAGGTATATTACTTCCTTTTCCTCATTTTGCAAGTAGGTTGTTGGACTTTCTAACTTTGTTTTTGTGTTTTCATTTTAATCCCTTATTTATTTTTTTGGTGTTTTCCGCTATTACCAATAGTATTTTTGCATACATAGAATCATAGAATCAAAGAGTTGGAAGAGACCTCATGGGCCATCCAGTCCAACCCCCTGCCAAGAAGCAGGAATATTGCATTCAAAGCACCCCTGACAGATGGCCATCCAGCCTCTGTTTAAAAGTTTCCAAAGAAGGAGCCTCCACCACACTCCGGGGCAGAGAGTTCCACTGCTGAACGGCTCTCACATGCTGGGCGGTTTCGTTTCGTTAATTCGTAATTCGTTAAAAATTCGTTATTTTTTTTGTTAACGAAGCGATAACGAACCATTATGGAGCAACTTAAAAACGAAACGAATTTTTCAATTCGTTTCGTAAATGCTTCGTATTTAGTTATGTATTCGTTTCGTTATTGGTTTGAGGTCGTTTCGTTATTATTTCCGCATGTCTGGGGCAAGTTTTATAGTTGTTTTGTTTAATTAGTGAAAAAAAATTATAATATCACACCAACAGTCAACAACAGAGGGAGAGGGAAGCTTCAGAAGTTCCCCCTGTCCCATTTGGAGGTTTTTTAGCGTATTGCGCGGTCGCGTCCGCCATTAACGAATCGATTCGTTATTGTTTCATTATTGTTTCGTTATTGTTTTGTAATTTTTTTACCATTTACGAAATTTCGTAAATATCGAACTTTTTTTAAAAAAAAATTCAGAATTCTTTTAAATATCGAAACGCAAAAAACCCCAAAAAACGAATCGATTTTAGAAACAAATTTTTCCGTTGTTACCCAGGCCTACTCTCACAGTCAGGAAGTTACCCCAAGCAGTTCACCACGTGCACCCAGTGGTAAGTGTACCCTAGGTTGGGAACTGCTGAACTAGAGGGGAAAAGCTAGACTCCATTATGATCTACAGTCGCTATAAAAATTGAGTTGCCACCCAAACTTACTCAGCCTGAGGGTTTTAACCGTGACATCAAGAGTGAAATTCTTGCATTGAGCTGCGTCGGCTTTCATTTGCGCATTATATAGTGTCACAACAGTCACTGTTGCTTTTCCTTGCCCTGAGGCACGAACAGTGAAGTCTTCATTCAGTTTGGTCTGAAAAACAACCAGAGTTAGCATGCCATTGGGATTGATTCTCTTGATTTGTTTGATTTTATTAAACATTGTTATCATCACTGAGATATTACTTTAGTAACCTGTCTTGAAACAAATCCATACATTAAAGCAAGGAAATAAATAAGCAACTAAATATTTTAGAATATGCGTATTGAAATAGCATTATGTTAGAAGGGGATTCATAAGATAACATGAAAGGATGACAAAATCCCCCTTTCTCCTTTTTTTCTCAAGTTGCACCAATCAAATGCTTCTCTGTGCAAATTCTGTCAAAATAAACAGAAACACCATTTTCAAAACAATTCCTACTACAGAAAGGCATTTGGTTAAATTATTATCTCCCCCTGGCAGAAATGAATAATTTACAGAAATACATCTCCAGCCAAAATAACCTTTTTTTTCATCAAAGATGAGGAAATCTGTCAGGAATCCTTACTTTTTTTGTCAAACACACTTTCTACATCATTGTAGCAAATTCTAAATCTAAAGGCTGGGATCTACCACTGTCCATCTAGTTGATCCTGATTTCCAAATCCCACGCAATAGCTAACAAGTAGCTACAAGACTGCCTTTTGAGCATACCTTTTATGTGTCCTGAAAACACACAGCAATATCAGAATGATGCCCCTCTAATATTGTGGGCTATTTACAGCTATATTTTAAACTACTTCAGGATAATTTTCCAAAGGCAGAATGTTTCTTGGAAATAAAAGAACTGCATTTTTCACGGGGTGTATCACTCTTTCCAGAACAGAACTAATGTGGAAAACTTGCTCAAATAAATAATAAGTAGAATAATAAATTAAACATGCTCAAAGAAGTGCTATACCTCTGCTGTCCTGGCCAGAAGGGCACCATCATAGTCAATTCTGTAACGAATTGGATCTTGACGTTGTGGCAATTGGATAGCAACATCCAGGTTCAAGACCTCTTGGGCTGGTATGTCGATTTCGTACTGGGCAAGAGCTTGGAACACCATAATGGTTGACTGAAATATTAGGAGGAAAGTGCAGTCAGTTCACCTGGAAGTAAATGGGCAGCCAAAATCTGGTGCTAAGGGTTACCAAGGAATTGGAGAATAAGAACAATCACACGCTTCTAGACGACATACTTTATTTAATGTATTTTTGGCCGCAGGAACAAGTGTACGAAGAAGTTAACAGCAGTTATAGAAGGCCATGATTTGGACTCAGGCTTTAGCATTGAAGAAGGGTTTAAACCCTTGCTTTTTTCAGAAAACATTTTTTTTGGTATTTATTATGTGCTTTATATTATGTTTGGCATCAAATTGTTGCCTGTTTGGATCGAGGAGGACCTTAGTCTGCACACGAACCTCAAATGCCTGTGCTTTTGGGGGAGGATGTCTAGATGTCCTCCCAGAGAATACCCAGACACCCAAACCACCCCCCTATAAACTCTTTTTAAAAAGTAACTTATCTGTCTGCCAATTATGTGCTGCCGGAGTCCTCCTGGCGCATAGAAATGGCGTGTCAGGAGAAGGGGTGCGAGGGGTGATTTTCCTTCTCACCCCTCTTCTCCTGAAGCATTATTTCTATGTACCTGGAGGACTCCGGCAGCATGTTAATGGCAGCGGGGAAAGTTATTTCATTTTTAAGGGTTATTAAAGGGGTTTTGGTGAGGGCATAAGAGCCCTCTCGGTTTTCCAGGCTGATTTAGCCCAGAAAACCCAAGATGACTGTGTGGACTGCCCCCTCAATAGTCCCAGGATTAGACTACTTAGGAAGACCCAAGTCTAATCCAGTAACTAATTAATTTGGGGCAAAACTGGGTTTTCCTGCTTTGTCCTTTCCCTCCCTGATATGTAACACCCATTTCCTCTTTCTTTCTTTCTTTTCTCAGCCTGTATGCCAAACATTTTCTCAGCCTGTTTCCCAATCCAAGATGTCCCTGCTCCACCTCAGTCACCTTTCAGTCTCAACCACTGCAATCATGGAAAGCTGTTCCTGAAGCTGTCCAATCTCACAAATCCATCGCCCACTTGAGAACCCCCCTCCTCTGTAGCTTCCTCCCTCTCTCCCTAAATACATCCTGAATTCTTTTGTATCCTATCATGTCCTTCTCTCCATTTTGGCATCTTGTTGTATAAAAAATAACCTCACTCATAAAAACTTTGCTATAATCCCAGACCATCCTAATATTGGCTCCCCTCCCATTTCGACCAATTGTCCTCAAAAATAATTTGAACTGTTTCTTTGCATTCAAAGTTATTATTTCATCATGCAACACCAATTTACCAAGTCTCCAACTGAATGTCCTCTTTTTGTTGAGCAACACCAAAGCAACAGGACTATGGCCCGAAATAATTCTAAGTAGAAATGTCATGCCCACAGTTCTATGACCCAAAGACTTAGACATCAGAAACATGTCAGTCCTATAAAATAATTCATGCCACACTCAGGAAAAATGTATTCCTTTGGTTGGCCACATACATATCTGCAAGCATAAAGAACTGAAAGATCATATGTCAATTCAAAAAAGGATCCTGGGAGTCTATCTCGTCTCTTTCAATTGTCCTTTCTGATTTTTCAGCCAGTCCAGACAACACCACTCAATTCCAATCTCCTACCACCATCACACCCTTCAAAAATTCCAACTCTGCTTTCAGGGGTCTAGATACATGTCATTGGGGGCTTTACCTCACAACATTGCATTTCAACACCTACTTACTGTCCACCATTACCCTGGAACATCCCCCTGTCACATATTTCCCATTCACACAAACCACAACTCCTCTTTTCCTCTCACTCATCAAGGCAGAGAAATGTTGCTCCAAATTTACATTAATAACCAAATTGCTCATAGCATATCAGCTCCATATCTTTATGGAAGATGCTCCTGCAGATCGAAATGGAAGGGCCAAAACACAGCTGATTCATTTTCAAGCACCCTGAAAAGAAATAGAGTTTTTAATAGGACAATACCAGTCTCAGAAAAGCAGAAATAAAATGTTTACTTGGGTTTGTCCATATGTTCCCCCGTAAAATCTCTGCTCTGTCAGCCATTTAACAATTTTGCCAGTACTCTCAAATTTCTTCATTTTCAGCAAGGCCAGCAAGGCATAGGAGGTGCTTTCGATGTTGTAGGTGTGAGCATTACGTTCTTCCCAACGGTTCCCATCTAAATATAGAGAAAGAGATATTGGCTAAACAGCTATTGAGGGCATATGAGCTCATTGTCATAAACACCTAATTTTCCCCAGTTTTCCTTAAAATATCATCAGTCTCGATAAGAAACAGACTGTCATTTACCTCTGGTTTTAAAGTCCCTTCTTATCACTTACCCAGTCACATCTACAATGCCAATGAAGTTAGAGACATACATCAAAAATACGCATGCACATCTCAGAAGAATTGACAGTGTCTAGGTAGTCCTCATATTACATTTAATCGTAATTAAGAGGAAAATCTTTCAATAAAATGTTTCTTGCCTAAGAAAACCATTCATTAATTGAACATGAGTAGATGTGTGTTCTTATTTTCAATTCATCTGACCAGGAGTTTAGCAGGAATAAAACTAATTTTAAGAAATAATTCAAAAATCCTCTGAAGCAAGGGTGCCAAATGCAACTTTGAATACAGCATTAGAGCAAAAATTAAAACTAGCAAATAAACTGCGCTCTTTCTTCCAGCCCAGCGAGATAGCCAAACGACTAAGAATGTACTCTAGAGCCCACATTATTAGAAGAAGAAGTCTGAAATGGAAATTTCTTGCTTCACATTGGCAGCCTTTGCCTTGGCTGCTGCCTACATAATAGCAAAGACTAGTGTTACTAGCCTTTTGTTCTTAACAGAAACTGCCTGTTATTTTGATTCTGTTCAATGCCTTGATCCAAAGGTACCTTTAGATGCTGCCATGAGGACTTTGTCATCAGTCAGTCTCCCTGCCAGGGCCAAAGCGTAGGCTGTGAGTGCTGTGGTATAAGGCCTTTTCAATGTGTCATATTTCTTCAGTAAATAGTTAGAAGCTTTGTTGATGCTGCTGTGTAGAACCTAAATTGGAAAGTTGAGGTGGTGAGAAAAGAAACCATGTATGTGTTAGCTGCATTTGAGAAGTGGTTTTCAAACATGAAGCATTTGCTATCAACTGGCCCAGATCATATTGGGGTCAAGCATGTAATTCCTTCTGGCATGAGTAGTCATACGTTCTACTCAATTACACAATGAAGCAGCCTGGACCTACTGACACAAGAATCTCCCTACTGGTTTGGAAAGGCCAGGGCACTATGAGGGTCAACGGATATGCTGGCTGGACACTTAGGGCACTTCCAGGCAGCACAAAGATCCGGGTTTTAAATGGGGGTTAAAAAGTCCTGGGACCTGACAGCAGGTACCCACACAAACCTGTCAGTCCTGGGATTTGGCACCCTGCCATCCTCACAGACTTCCTCTGTATTGGAACAAGATAGAGGGCAGATGGGCGACGTCCGGTGGAAGATTTTTTTAAAAAAAAATCACTTTATTATGCGTTGAGCCTCATATGAGCACATGAAAATATTTTAATACAAATATAAGCAGATTCACACATGCGCATATGAGATTCAGCCCATAAAGGAGGGGATTTTAATTTTAAAAATCTTGTCTCTTTCCCCAATTATTTATTCAAGCCCTATTTAATATTATAAAGTTTAAAATAAAGAATTTCAGAGAGTTGTAATTACTCTCCATTTGCGCTTCCTTTAAAGCACCTGTGTGTCTGTTTCACATCCCAATTGGCTGTTCAGCTGTTTGGGGCTTTAAAAAAGTGGATGTGTGGCTTCCTATGGAGTAGGCTCCATAGGGAGAGTGCAGCGATATACAGGGATGTGGATATGTGCATTTTCCATCCAGAATTGGGATAAAAGGGGACCTTTTAAACTCGTGTTTTTGTCCATTGCAGCAAATCAATGCAGATTTACTGCTAGAGTCATTTTAACCTAGTAACTTCTGTATTTTAGGTGCTGCATAGAAGGGCCCTTAAAATCATATAATCATAAGGATTGGAAGAGACCCAAAGAGCCATCCAATCCCACTTCCTACCACACAAGAAAAGCATGATCAAAGCAACTTTGGCAGATGTCCATCCGGCCACAGAATGAGATTCCACCACACTCCAAGGCAGTGAATTGAACTGTTTTTGTGTATAGAATGGATTTTACGAATTATATGTTTGGAGTTTGGCTGGGTCCTATTAAGGTCTGGCAAGGTTGAAGATACCATCCTAAAAATGGAATCTGGTAAACTGGAGGTGTTGTGGTGGAGTCTTCAAGCAGTGATACTACTGGGAGTATTAGGAGGGGAAGAAAGACTACTCGTGAGCAAGACTCCGATGAGGAGCAACAGAGAAAGCAGATCCGGGAAATACTTATGGAATCCAGTGATGATGAATCATTTGTGGGCTTCGCAGGGAATAATGAGTCTGAGACTGAGTGGTATGGCAAGTTCAGAGGATGAAGAAATGGATTGGACTAAAGTATGGGACTAAAGTCCTGGCGGCACAGGGCTTTAACCCACTGCACCACCGGGGGCTCCATCTCAAAGTGAATTTTCCCATTGAAATGCTATTAATCTGTTAATCTAAATTAATCTAAAGTACGGGAGGTTCAGGCCATCTGTAAAGAGCCCACAAGTAGCGATACATTTGTGGGTTTCTCTGGAGGAAAGGATTGGCACACTGGGGATCCGGTTGAATCTTGGGGAGTTATGGGTTTGGATAGAAGATGGAGAGACTGGAGAGATCGGCAAGGGGCTTCAGGTGGAAGGAGAAATGGTGGGGCGTTGTCTGATTCCAGTTCGGAGGAGGAATTGGGGCAAGGGGCTTCAGCTGCAAGGGCCGTTGGCAGGGCATTGGCTAGTTCCAGCTCCGAGGAAAATTTGTAAATAAAAATGGGGTTGGGAAATGGGGACTCCTTGCAGTCGGCAAGGTGTTGATGGGTGTTCCTGGGAGCTGTGTTTAGGAAGACATGTTTGGGAAGACTTCTGTGGACCTGCTGAGCTGCCGTTCTCAATTTTGACTTTGTGTAAGACCTGGACTGGATTTTTGTGAATGCTGACTTCTCCCTCTACTACCCGGATTGGATTCACTACGCTTGCTTCTTTGGGACAACGACTTAGTTTTGGACTGACTTCACAATGGATGACCTCGGTGTTTCTTGTGTGCTGTGACGCCCCTTTGTGTGCTGAGACGACCTTCATTTGTTTTGAGTGCTTTTTCTTGCTGTTTGCATAACTAAGTTTAAACTGGTTTATATTCCGGTTTAATCTGGGTTATTTTCCAGATCTTGTTTTTGTGGCCCAATTGTGGGTAATTTTATGTTTCACACTGAAGAATAAGTGTTTTGAGCCTTTTTAAAGTTATTTTTTTGCTCCTTTTTGATTAACTAATAAACTGTACTTTAATTAATATTGGTCTGGTGCTTTAACGAGTCTGTCTTGCAACAGGAGGTGAATAATTTGAAGAACTTTGCCAAGAAAAGTGCTAATGAGAAAACTGCTGACCTAAGAACTTTGAGGTGTAAACAACACATATTTACATAATCAAAGACAATGACTCTTTAAGTTAAATTAGTTCAACATTCCATCTATTCTGGAATTGATGAGGCTCCAGCAGGTCTGAGCTGAATGACAGAGGTTATGTAAACAACCTAATAATGGAAAACAAAAAACTCTACATAATATCTTTTTCTTTTCAACCATGTTCTACATCTGCAAGGAAAGCAGCATCTGTCCACCTGCTTCTCTTCTCCAGTGGGAGGTCTGAACAGAGGAGGTGAGTATGAATGTTGAATGTATGCATTATGAACGAATTTTGGAGTAGATGTGGTATTTCCTCTTTATCTATGTAACCAATAAAGCTGCACTGGGTCTGTGTGTCTACTTCTTTCTCTGAAAGTGCCCGATATACTCTGTATCTCTGAAAACAGATTAAAGAACATTTTCAAGACTCTAAAAGTATTTTTGAACCTTAAGAATGAACGGCATGAAACTTGCAATCAGGACATTCTTCCTAATGTTCAGGTAGAATCTCCTTTCCTGTAATTCGAACCCATTGGTCCGAGACTAAGTCTCCAGAGAAGCAGAAAACAAGCCTGCTCCCCTTTTTTTATGGCATCCTTTCAAATATTTAAACATGGCTATCATGTCTCCCCTCAACCTTCTCTACTGCAAGCAAAACTTCCCTGGCTCTTTAAGCTGCTTCTCAAAGGGCATGCACTTCAGATCTTTAGTCATTTTCATCTAGACACATTTCTCAGTTGTCAATATCCTTCTTGAATTGTAGTGCCCAGAATTGGGCACAGTATTCCCAAAGCAGAATAGAGGGGCACCATGACTTCCCTTCATCTTCTAGACACTATCCTCCTTTTGATGCAGCCTGAAATCCCATTGGCTTTTAAAGCTGCTCATCACACTGTTGGCTCATGTTCATTGTTTACTAAGACTCCGATATCGTTTTTGCATGTACTGTTATCAAGCCAGCCTGTATCTGTGCATTTTCATTTCATCTCTGCAATTCATTTTTTTCAACCTAAGTGTAGCATTCTACATTTCTCCTTGTTGAAATTCATTTTGTTAATTTTGGCCCAGCTCGCTAATCTGTTAATGTTGTTTTGAATTCTGGTCCTGTTTTCTGGAGTATTAGCTATCCCTCCCAATTTGGTGTCATTTGCCAGAGCACAGCTTCTTTTCCACCTTTCCTTCTCATTGTCCTTTCTCTCACACACAAGTGAGTCATCACCAGTAGCCAACAGTATCTACATGAGTCCCTTCCTTGCTTTGAATTGAGAGTGCATCTAGTTGGATTGTTCATGGCTCATGAGAAATGATGGTACTCATGTATAGTTTAAAAGGGAACAAACTGAAAGAGAAGGGGGAACTAATTATATTATAAGATATTGCTACCTTTTATAATCTTTCTTGCTACAGATGTACTTACACTGACATGTCTCTCACAGAGGCTTCTGGATTCCAGCAATGCAACCAGGACGAAAGCCGTTAATGACACCTCTGGTTCGGCACCCACATAGCCTCCCTAAAAGGAAGCAGAGGAGGGAAGAAAGGGGAAAGACTTTAAGGGATCTGTCTAAATGTATAGATTCAGATCCTTTTATAGTTTATTTAGATCAGAAATCACCAATAGTCACTGCACTGGATATATATCAGACAACTCAAAATCTTAGTTTAAAAACCATCATTAGACCTCATTGAAATGGGTAATTATTGCCCAGCCTGTAATTTCCCCTTTTTGGGCAATGTTCTGGAGTGGGTGGTGGCCTTGCAACTCTAGGGATTTCTGGATGAAATGGATAATCTGAATCCATTCCAGTCTGGTTTCAGGCCCAACCATGGAATGGAGATTGCTTTGGTCACCTTGGTAGATGATCTACATAGAGAACTTGACAGGGGAAGTGTGTCCATGTTGGTTCTCTTGGACCTCTCAGTGGCCTTTGATACCATCGATCATCCCAGTCTGGGTTGCCTGACTGGGATGGGTCTTGGAGGCACCACTCTTTCCTGGAAGGTCGTACTCAGATGGTGATATTGGGGGATGCCTGCTCAACCTGACGGCCATTGTCTTGTGGGGTCCCACAGGGTTCCGTTCTGTCCCCCATGTTGTTTAACATCTACATGAAGCCACTGGGAGAGATCATCAAGTGTTTTGGAGTTTGGTGCCATCTGTACGCAGATGACACCCAACTCTACTACTCATTTCCACCAAAAGTCAAAGAAGCAGTCCAGACCTTGAACCAATGCCTGTCAGCTGTTGTGGACTGGTTGAGAACAAACAAATGGAAATTGAATCCAGACTAGACAGAGGTCCTTCTGGTCAGCCGAAAGGCATATAGGGCATAGGGGGTACTCTTGTACTCATTGCTAAGTCTGGAGGCCCAGGTGTCAGCGGTGGTTAGGAGGGCCTTTGCACAATTAAAACTTGTGCACCAGCTGTGACCATACCTTGAGAAGCCGGACTTGGCCATGGTGGTCCATGCCTTAATTACATCCCATGTAGACTACCTTAACAGGCTCTACATGGGGCTGCCCTTGAAGAGTGTCGACAAACTTCAATTAGTTCAGAGATCTGCAGCCAGGTAATTCACTGGTGCTGGACCCAGGACGCATAGTATCCCCCTGCTAAAGCATCTACACTGGCTGTCATTTCCTTTCCAGTAATCGGTTTGCCATTACATTTTTCTGGTACAATACAATCAGTCATTTAATTCTATTTTATTTCCTTCTGAGAATAGAAACTTCTGGACTGCAGCAATAATTCATACCGACATTGATCCAGAAATTGCACGAGCCTCATCATGGAAAATCCCATCTGGTTTTTGCCTTTCCAGAATCAGCCACTTCACACCTCCACAGACAATCTGATCACTAATAGTAGATACAATTTTGGAAGCCATGGCAAAGACCTTTACTATATATGCTGTTAGCCTGCAAGAAATACAGAATGCACCAGTTGAAGCTTATCCAAAGGTAGCAATGAGAAATAGAACGGAGACTAGAAAGTATTGTAAATTTACAGAAAAAAGGAGAATAGTGTTTGTGTAATTGTAGATGGGTTGAATTTATTATTTAAAAAGCCCAAGGCGTTTCAACTAATGTATTCATGTAGATGCTGCACCATATTGGACTTTTCAACAAATAAATTCAGTTCACCTGTTAAAGAAAAAATGACACCCTCTCTTGATTAAACGCACATGAACAGAAATGAATTAAAGTCACATTTATTTTATTTTCCTTTTTTTTTACCAATTTCGCAAATCTGAAATGCCACTCCTCCTCAACTCTAAAAAATCCCAGTCAGCTATATCTCCTCTTGTGTATAAAATCCACTTTTATGAAATTGCGTAATTTATATCATAGGCTTATATCATAAGATCACTCTGACCAAAAGGTCATGAGTTCGAAGCCAGCCCAGGTTGGAGTGGGTTTCCAACCAATAGTGTGTAGCCTGTTGTCGACCTTTGCAACCCGAAAGACAGTTGCATTTGTCAAGTAGGAAAATTAGGTACCACCTTAAAGTGTGGGGAGGCTAAATTAACTGATTTATGAGGCCATAAAGAAGACTCCAGCAAAGCATTCCAGTGGGGAAACATGCGGGAATGCGGAAGTGCTTCATCAGCGTCGCATATGGACGATGAAAGCGACAGCTCCCCTGGCGGCCAGAAAAAGTTAAATAGCCTCTGTGTATGTCTGTATATGTTTGTATGTCAAAAATTGGCATTGAATGTTTGCCATATATGTGTACACTGTCATCCGCCCTGAGTCCCCTGCGGGGTGAGAAGGGCGGAATATAAAAAGCTGTAAGTAAATAAATAAATAAATAAATAAATAATGCATTCAGGCTCTTAAAGAATGAGTGGAACTGCAAATCTATGACATTGTTTTATTTAATCTTGGGGACAGGAAGCAGGCTAAGCTGGGAAATGTATGCAAGCCTGAATGTCAATGTCAGGATTGGAACCCCAGTCCAGAGGGCAGGAAGCTACTCTACTCAGCCTCTAAGCACAGTCTAAGCACACTTGTGTGAGCGATACTTGCAGGAACAGCAGACAGCAAGCACAGCAGTTTCCTTCCACACAAGGCTCTATCTTCCATTGCAGCAGTACAGATTCCATAGAATGGCCATTAACGTGGAATCAAAGTACATTATTTGTGCGGTGTGGAAGAGCCCAAGAAGTCAATTTCTGTATTTGAAAATCGTTTTTAATTTGAAAAATAAATAAATAAAACAGACCAAGGGGTTTTCAAACTATGTAAAAGTACTACATACAACCCTAGGGCAAGAAAAAGAAAAACGGAAATAATTTAGCCAGTGACAAATCTTTCACTGAGCAATTAATGGAATTAAAATATTTCATTCCATTTCCCCTCTTTTTCTTGAGGTCCGAATTGCAGTGCTGGAGAAGTCTTCTGCGGATACTATGGACTGCTATAAAAAGACAAATGAATAGTTCCTCGAGAAAACCAAGTTTGAATTCTCCCTGGGAGTTAAGATGACTAATGTGAAACTGTCATACTTTGTGGCTATCATGCTTTATTTAGTCTTATATACTGAAAAAGTCAATGATATTTGGTAAAGTAGAAGGCAGCAAGGAAAGAGGAAGACCTAATTCCAGATGGATAGATGCAATCGAGGAAGCTTCAATCCTGAGTCTATGACATCTGAGCAGGGTTATCGATGTTGGGGTGACTTACAGGTCGCTCATTCATGAGGTCACCATAAATCAAAGCTAACTTATTGGTAAATAATAATAATAATAATAATAATAATAATAATAATAATAGGAGCCTCCAGTGTTGCAGTGGGTTAAACTTCTGTACCGGCAGGACTGAAGACCAATAGGTCGCAGGTTCGAATCTGGGGAGAGCACGGATGAGCTCCCTCTATCAGCTCCAGCTCCTCATGCAGGGACATGAGAGAAGCCTCCCACAAGGATGGTAAAACATCAAAACATCTGGGTCTCCCCTGGGCAACATCCTTGCAGACGGCCAATTCTCTCACACCAGAAGCGACTTGGAGTTTCTCAAGTCGCTCCTGACACAACAACAACAAAAAAAAGGCAGATAACAACATGTCACCTTCACTTGCTCTTAAGGAAAAATCTTTCACAGAAAATAACAAGCATAATAGAACAAGAAACCAATTTGCTATATAAGTTGGAGCAAGAGCATGAAAACATTCCAAAGTCAACGTGATAGGATGTTGCCAAGCCCATTCCAGGTTTAAATGTACTCCGACAGCAATATTGCTCCTACCATGTGCTAGATGTTCTGCTACTCCAGGGAGGATAGGAGTGATCTGGTTTCTTAAATGTCAGTTGCTGAGTGTATCCTGAGAAAAGAGGAAGACGAGAAAGAGAGGTAAATGCAGCATGTGTATCTGGACAGACAGAATCATCACTGGCATAAATCCAGCTCAAACAAGCCCTGCGCTTCCCCTCTCTCTTACGCTGCACTTCCTCATCTGTGCTGCTTTTCTCTTACTCATTCACTTGGCTTCTGTTTCTTTCCCCTTTTCTCTCTATTATGCAACTTCCATTCCAGCTAAAGGCTGAAATCATCACCAGCCCATCCAGAAGACTTCATTAGAAGAAGCTAGAGAGGGGAGAAGTTACCACCACCTCAAGGTTTGATTTTTTTTCCATTTAAAAAGTAAAAAGTCAGTTTATATTTCAGTATTGCAATATTTTCTAGAATGCAGTTATTCAAAACAAGATAACAAGAGCAGTACAGAGTCCATATATAATTCTTTGTTAATTTCATTCTCAAAGAAAGCAACATCTACAAAGGAAAATGCTTCTGTACAAATTATATTTTCAGTATAGAAAATGCTTTTTTTCTGGATTGTAAATGTTATTGTCCTGCGTGGGAGGAGGAATCAAATTTTGCACAGTATAAGTCTGTGCTCAGAAGGCTCTTGACAATCCAGAATTCTTCTCACTAAGGCTTCCTAAGACTTGAGAAACACATTTTTAATACTTTTCAATAATCGTGAGTAATGTCAAAATTGCTGAAACAGTTAGGTTGTCAGTGAGTGAAGTGTGGCTGTGGATTACAAGGGCCCCCCGGTGGTGCAGTGGGTTAAACCCCTGTGCTGTCAGGACTGAAGACCAACAGGTCGCAGGTTCGAATCCAGGGAGAGGTGGATGAGCTCCCTCTATCAGCTCCAGCTCCTCATGCGGGGACATGAGAGAAGCCTCCCACAAGGATGATAAAAACATCAAATCATCTGGACGTCCCCTGGGCAAAGTCCTTGCAGACAGCCAATTTTCTCACACCAGAAGCGACTTGCAGTTTCTCAAGTCGCTCCTGACACAACAAAAACAAACAAACAAACAAACAAACAAACAAACAAACAAGGGGGCTCAAAACAAGTTTTCCTTTTGTAGATTCCTCCAATTCCTAAGTTACCCTCAAACACCAGAATATTTTTTTTTTTTTTAAATCCCACTTTTGGAGACCTACATCAGAAATGGTTTTCGGTATAAATAGTGTTCACTTCCCTCCAAACCTTATAAGCCTCAATCCAGAATTTCAAAAACACAACTAACAAACAAAAATCAGAATTAACTTTACAGATCTTTCCATTTTGGATTTTTAGAAAAGTAATGCGTTTCCAGGCTGACATGCTCTTTGGGTAGTTCTGGGTATGTAGGTTGGTGCACAAATCATCTGATTTAAGTACCAAATGCACAGGCACTACTGCAAGGGAATCCTCTTACTCAAGTACGTCCATCTCTCCCCCAAGAGAAAACCTTAATGGTCTGAAATTCACTCAGACTTTGGATAAATCAGTTAAGAAGACTGCTGCATTAGCTGGAGGAAGGAAGGGGGAAGTCCAGAGATGTCTGCTTGCTTTACCTTTCTGGATCAGTTTGATGGCCTCGGGCCTGCGATTCACTCCAACCTTCTCCCATTGGTTTGTGGCATCAAGGTAGTGGGTGGCAATAACTGTCGGTGTCAAGCTCATCATGTTCTGTTCCACACAGCCAGAAGGTATTACGATGAGATGTTTCAGGTTGCTTCCATCAATGGAGTCTTCAACAATATTAGCCACAGGGTCTCCTAACCACAAATACAAAACTCATGTTAATTCCCAAGTCCAGAAAAACTTTTTGAAACTTGTGGAATGTGCCTTGCAGGTCTTTTCCTACCCCAGTACAAAATTACTCCTAGGGCATCAAAAGCTGGTATAATTTTAGCTTGCAGGCCTAATTTAAAAGAATTTTCCCTTGTCATACAGAATACATTCATTGTGTCCATGGGAATCAGTGGGAACCTGTGATTTTTGTGTCAGCAAAATAGTGAAACTGCTCTGGGTTTCAGTCTGAACTTTAAAGAAACTGTTCAAAATGCTGCGCATAGGTTTAGCATCTTGGATCACTCCAAGTAGAATTATTGACTCAATTCCCTGGAAACCTGGTAGGAATAGTTTTGCCCATGCTTATGCTTGCTTGCACTCCCAGTGGTGCAGCGGGTTAAACTGCTGATCTGCTGGACTTGCTGATAGAAAGGTTGGTGGTTCAAATCCGGGGAGTGGGGTTAGCCCCAGCTTCTGCCAACCTAGCAGTTCAAAACCATACAAATGTGAATAGATCAATAAATACTGCTCCAGCAGGAAGGTAACGGTGCTCTATGCAGTCATGCCGGCCACATGACCTTGGAGGCATCTATGGACAATGCCGGCTCTTCAGCTTAGAAACGGAGATGAGCATCAACCCCCAGAATCGGACACAACTAAACTTAATGTCAGGGGAAAACCTTTCCCTTTTTCCTTGATGCTTGTCTACTGCGATCAGCAGACTATGCCCTGCTATATGGATAAAACTGCATGGGGTGTATTCTTTGTGCTCGAAGGGATTTAGATTTGGACTCTGTTCATGCCTACAGCCTTAGAGTTTTGTATTAAATCAAGCTCTTGCCTTGGACGCTAATTTTGGTATCAGTTTCGGTTCCAGGAACAATATCGTCTAAGCTTCTAGCTTTCACCAGCACTTCCTGGACTCCACCTAGAGGAAGAAAAAGGCAAGAAAATGAGGAATTAAATATAAGTTACCCACAAATCTGATTTACAAAACACCTCACATTCCATGTACATAAATGTAATCTGAATCATGGCAGTCATGACAACTAGACCCATTGAAGCAAAATATAAATTTCATTGATTTAATAGGTGGAGCTTAGTTTCCCAATAATATTGAGCTCTGTATGTGAATATGTGTACCAAGCACCGGGACTGTGGCACAGCTGGCTGGGAGTCAGCTGCATTAAGATCCCTACTGACCGAAAGGTCATGAGTTCGAAGCCAGCCTGGTTCAGAGTGAGCTTCCGACCAAAATTGTATGGCTTGTTGTCGACCTTTGCAGCCCGAAAGACAGTTGCATCTGTCAAGTAGGAAATGTAGGTACCACTTATGTGGGGAGGCTAATTTAACTGATTTATGAGGCCATAAAAATCTCCAGGAAGTATGCAAAGAATGAGGAAGTACTTCATCAGTGTCACAAATGGACAGTGAAGTGACAGCTCCCCTGGTGGCCAGAAACTGGAATGTTAAATAGCCTCTGCATGTCTGTCTATATATGTTGTGTGTCTATGGCATTGAACGTTTGCTGTGTATATGTACATTGCAATCCGCCCTGAATCCCCTGCAAGTTGAGTAGGGCAGAATATAAATACTGTAAATAAATAAATAAATAAATAAATAAATAAATAAATAAGGTCATTGATATTTGATTTCACATGGAGTAGTGAGTGTGGTGCAGTGATTTGAAAGTAGGACTATGACTCTGGAGACAATGTCTGAATCCCTGTTCAGCCAAGGAGCCCATTGGGTGACCTTAGGCATGCCACCCTCTCCCAATGTCCGGGAGAAGCAAACAAAAAACCTCTTCTGAACAAATCTTGTGGGTAGTCTTAGGGTTGTCACTGGTTAGAAATGTCTTGAGGACACACAGCAACTATCTTGTAAGTGCAAGTGTGCATACAGTACATGTGCTCTGCAGAACACATGTGAACACAGTACCCTGAATAATAACTACTATCTTTTTAACCATCAATGATCATTATGTATCCTAACAAAATTTGTAACTATACACTAATACTTACAGGTAGGAATGAGAAATGTTAGCACACTTTAAGAAACACTGCTACAATAAATCCACTCCAACTCTAGGTCAAGTTTTAAAAGACTGTCTGCTCGGTTAGGAAACAAAGACAGATGAACAACTTAAGCAATAAAGAATTTCTTGCAGGACTCAAGAAAGAGTTTCAAAAGAAGACACTGGCGAAGAATGGCTTTCACTCACCTTTCCCATTTTTAGAGGGTTCCAACTCAACGACAGTGACATGAGATCTCCGTATTCCTTCAGGCTGGCAAGAAAGAAGGTGCAAAATCACTGTGAAAGTCAATCATGGCAGCAAAGAGGAACTCAAAATGGAAACAGTAACAGCCATCTACATCCTGGTTAAAATATAGTTTGGCTTTGCGCGGACCTGCCCCCAAATCCTTGACAACAATTATGACAATCAGGTCTTTTAAAAGTCCTTGATTATTTCCTAGCAATGGTTGTGAATTGACTTTATTTCTTCTCTTTTTAAATTAATTATGTCATATTGATCCCTTATGGCATTTCAGTTGATCTTATATAAAGCATGGCTATATCTAATTGATTTCCTTTGTTACTATTTCAATCTGACTCTATGTTAAAATTATGTTTTTATATTTCTAATGCAAAGTCCCATTGCTAGAACTTAACGGACAGAGTAAGTAAATACAGAGAGCTGTGACTATTAGGCAAGTGCCCACACTCATGACCTTGAGGAAGGAATTGAAAGCTTGGCTTTTTAGACAGACCTTTGACAATGGCAAAATGTAAGAATTCCTAATACTTTCAATTGGATTTTATGGCTCATCTTTACCAGATCAATGACTGGGACTTTTAATGTTGTTTAAAGTGTTTTTTATATATAATTGTTTGCTGATGTTTCGGTTGTTTTGTGTTTTTTTTGTTTTGTTTTAATTGGATACATTATCTACCTTGTCTTTATTATTAACCATATTATTTTATTATTGTAAGCTGCCCTGAGTCCCTTTTGGGGAAGTGGGACAGTGCATAAATAAAGGTTATTATTATTATTATTATTATTATTATTATTATTATTATTATGGGTTGTTGTAGGTTTTTTTGGGCTATATGGCCATGTTCTAGAGGCATTTTCTCCTGACGTTTCACCTGCATCTATGGCAAGCATCCTCAGAGGTAGTGAGGTCTGTTGGAAGTAGGAAAAAGGGTTTATATATCTGTGGAATGACCAGGGTGGGGCAAAGGACTCTTGTCTGCTGGAGCTAGGTGTGAATGTTTCAACTGACCACCTTGATTAGCATTTAATGGCTTGGAAATGCCTGGGGGAATTTTTTTGTTGAGAGGTGATTTGATGTGCCTGATTGTTTACTCTCTGTTGTTTTGCTGTTGTAATTTTTGAGTTTTTATTACTGGTAGCCAGATTTTGTTCATTTTCATGGTTTCTTCCTTTCAGGTTGAAATTGTCCACATGCTTGTGGATTTCAATGGCTTCTCTGTGTAGTCTGACACGGTGGTTGTTGGAGTGATCCAGCATTTCTGTGTTCTCGAATAATATGCTGTGTCCAGGTTGGTTCATCAAGTGCTCTGCTATGGCTGACTTCTCTGGTTGAAGTAGTCTGCAGTGCCTTTTATGTTCCTTGATTCATGTTTGGGCGCTGCGTTTGGTGGTCCCTATGTTTGGTGGTACATATAGCCCGAAAAAAACCTACAACAACCCAGTGATTCCGGCCATGAAAGTTTTCAACAATATATTATTATTATTATTATTATTATTATTATTACTATTATTTGAAACACAACAAGATTAGTACACAGCAAACAAGATCACTATGCTGGCTGTTGAATTGGATCACACGTCGGACACTTCCCAAGTGTCTAGGACTGTGTGATGTATTGGTGCATAAGGCATACAGATGGTAATATTGTCAGCTGACAGATGGTAATTTTGTCAGTGCCGATTGTGTTTAAGTGCAGGCCAAGGTCTTTAGGCACTGCACCCAGTGTGCCGATCACCACTGGGACCACCTTGACTGGCTTGTGCCAAAGTCTTTGCAGTTCAGTCTTTAAATCCTCATATTGTGTCAGCTTTTCCAGTTGTTTCTCTTCAATTTTGCTGTCACCTGGGATTGCAACATTGATGATATTATTATTATTATTATTATTATTATTATTCATTTCTTTGATATGCTCCCTTTCAAAAATCACCCAAAAAATCCCCAGAAATCACTTCAATGGAACACTTCCAACTCTTTGATTCTATGATTCTATGATTCTACAATCATCACAAAATTCAGTCTCTGAGATGTATTTACTATGTGGAATGATTGCAGTTTTACAAAACATTAAATGCCTTGGCTCGATGCTGTCCAGTCATGGGAGTTGGAGTTTGGCAAAGCACTAGCACTGTTTAGCAGAGATGTTTCACAGATCTTGCAAAACTAGAACGCTTATGATTCCATAGCATTAAGACATTTAAGGTGACCCCTTCCTCCTTGTATAGTTTTCTCTCGTGCCCCTACTCAGTGATGTGGTCTCATACTCTCAGGCTTGCCTCACCTCTTCTCAAGTTCCCCGTCCATTCCTGGAACTTTCCATCATCTCACGTTCTCTAGAATGTAGTTAGGCAACCCAGGATTTGCAACTCTATTTTATATCAGTAAATGGAGTTCTCTTAATGAAGGTTACCATATATACTCAAGTATAAGCCAACCCGCATATAAGCCGAGGCACCTAATTTTATCACAAAAAACTGGGAAAACATATTGACTTGACTATAAGCCAAGGTAGGGAAATGCAGCAACAACTGGTAAATTTCAAAATAAAAATAGATCCCAACAAAGTTACATTAATTGAAGCATCAGTAGCTTAAATACTGTTGTTTTTAATATTTACATAAAACTGTAATTTAAGAAAAAACTGTCCAACTCTGATTAAATCATAATTCTAACCTATTCAATGTAAATTATACTTACGTATGCTTCCAATAATCACCATAGTTTATTTTCACTATACATTTTGTGGAAAATGCTGTGTGTATATGAATAAGGAAAGTGTGAAAGGCTGGCACCGAGAGAGGAGGAGGGGAAGGAAAGCTGGGTTGCTGTGTGGAGAAATGAGGGTCCTAGCAGGAAGGCTGAAAGGGGGGGCCGAAAGAAGCCCTTCTTTCAGCCCCATACCTTCCTGCCAGGACCCTGACCCGAGTATAAGCCATGGGGGGCTTTTTCAGCCTAAAAAGAGGGCTGAAAAACTAGGCTTATGCTCGAGTATATACAGTACTTTAAACTTTAGCTGCTGGTGCCTTTGCTTCTTGAATGCCACTCACACTCTTGAATGCCAACTCACAGTCGTGAGTTTAGTCTCAAATTTAATTCACATTACAGTGTAGATCAGGGCTCTTCAAACTAAGGCCTGGGGATCGGATATAACCCTCCAAAGTCATTTACCCAGCCCTGGCTCAGAGTCAACCTAAGTCTGAAACTACTTGAAAGCACACAACAACAACAACAATCCTGTCTCATCAGCCAAAAGCAGGCCCACACTTCCCATTGAAATATAAATAAGTTTTTATTTGTTAAAATTGTTCTTCATTTTAATTATTGTATTGTTTTAAAGTTGTTTTTGCACTACAAATAAGATATGTGCAGTGTGCATAGGAATCCATTCATATTTTTTTCAAATTATAATCTGGCCATCCAACAGTTTGAGGGACTGTGACCTGGCCCTCTGCTCAAAAAGTTTGAGGACCCCTGATCTAGATAGACCCTAACAGTAAGGTATTTTGTTGTTGCTTTTATGTTCCACTGGGGACAGGTATGTAGCCGGGGGGGGGGGGGCTTGGGGGCTTCAGCCCCCCCAAAATTCTCATGGTGGTCCATGAGAAGGCCTTATTGGTGCATTATTTAAACTGTTTATTCATATCATGATCTGATCACCATACTCAATATATCCCATAAGCATGGGGGTAATGGGGTAACGATGCAAAAGGTTTGCTAGGGTAGACCCTCTTTCGCTCAGACTCAGCCCCCTCCTCCAATCAAAATCCTGGGTATGGGCCTGACTGGGGATGTGTGAAAAGGACAAATAGGTCAAGCTGTACCCAACCTGGTGTGTGTTCTGTGCTGTTTTAGTCACAGTCTCAACAACCCAAATTTTTCCAATGCTATCCCTTCAGGTTAAGGCTGCCTGGCTGAGGGAGGCAGAGTGGATGGGCAGAGTTACAAAACCACCCTGGCTGCAACCTCTTTTTCTGCCAACTTAATGGGAGCGTCTGGTGTGATGCCTACCACAACCCGGAGCTTCTTGATCACTCCATCAGACACCATCAAGTTCCAGACAGCCCCTTTGACTTCGATGTCATGTAATCCCAGCTCAAGTGGGACCAAGACAAACGGGATTGCCGCAGAGGAATGAGCCCTGATAGTGACATCATGTCTGTAGCGTTGCTTGGCGGTAGCAGCGCTGCAGAAGGCAGGGTTATGAATCAGCTCCAATCGCACCTGGAGAGAAAAGACAGAAGGAAGGCCCTTTGAAAGCAATGTAAACAACAAATGACCAAAGGAGAAGAAACTTTCTTTCCTTGGATCAATGCTACATCTTCCGTGCTTTCCCCCCTCAAGCGACTACTGATTTTCTATTCTTTTCCAGTCTCCACTTTTAGCTCTGACTATATCCAGTCAGTCAACCATTGAAGTAAATGAAAACTGAACTTTATGGTGGAATTCATAAACAGGAACATTAATAATGAAGTAAAATAATTATAACATGAGTGTCAAAATGAGGTATAAAAGATGCGTTGACAAGACCTTTCAGATAGAAGGAAAGTAAATGGAGAAGACTTACAAAGAGTTAAGCTGCACTAGTTCACAATAGATCAGTAAAAGCACTTGTAATGTTGAGATAATATTTTAGGATAAACATTAAAAACAAACCATAATGGAAATTCCTATGAGACAGAACACATTCAGCTTCACATACATGCACACACACATGAAGAAGGCTTTTCATTCACATAATATTATTTCCATTCACATAATATTATAATTAATGGTAAAGACATTTGTTGTTATTCTTAAGCTGCATCTTTTGTTGTTTATTCGTTCAGTCACTTCCGAATCTTTGTGACCTCATGGACCAGCCCATGCCAGAGCTCCCTATCAGCCGTGGTCACCAGTCACTTCAAGGAAGCCAGTCACTTCAAGGATGCCATCCATCCATCTTGCCCTTGGTCGGCCCCTCTTCCTTTTTCCTTCCATTTTCCCCAGCATCATTGTCTTCCTCAAACTTCCCTGTCTTCCCATTTTGTGGTCAAAGTACTTCATTTTTACCTCTAATATCCTTCCCTCCAGTGAGCCGCTGGGCATTTTTCCTGGAGTATGGACTGCTCCAAGGCACTCTCAGAATTTTCCTCCAACACCACAGTTCAAAAGCTTCTATCTCCCTTCGTTCAGCCTTCCTTATGGTTCCGCTCTCGCATCCATAGGTTACTATGGGGAGTACCATTGCTTTAACTCTACACTGCCCTATATCCAATGATCTGATCGCAGATCTGTTTAGAACGGCATTATATGAGTCTAACTGCCAGATAATCTGGGATAAGAAGATAATTTGGGATCAGATCCTGCCATCCTGGTATATAGGAGAGTGTAGATACAGTCATAATTTACTTTTAAGATGGATCTACACTGCCATGAAATCCAGTATTTGAACCTAGATTATCTGCTTTGAACTGGATTATACACTGCTATATTATCTATCTGAAAGCAGATAATCTGGGATCACATACTGGATTAAATGGCAGTATAGAAGAGGCCTTAGTCAACTCAGATTCATGGTGAGCTTCTCAAAGGGTTTTTCCCCCTTTTTTAATCAGAAGGGGATTGTTTTTTTCTCCTTTAGGCTGAGAGATAGTTTATCCAAGGCCACCCAGTATCCACCCTGCAGAATTATACCAGTTTGATACTATGTCAAGTGCATTAACTCAATGCTATGGAGTACTGGGATTTGCAGTTTTATGAGATAATTGCCCCTCTCTGTCAAAGAGTGCTGGTGGCACAACACATTACACCATGTGTTTAGCACTGCGACAGAGAGGGGAGGAGCTCGCCAGTATGACGAGGTCCCTAGACAAGGGGGCAAGCTTGATTTCTGCTGCTCTGGAGACTAGGACATGGAGCAATGGGTTCAAATGATGGGAAAAGATATTCCACTTAAATATTAGGAAGAGCTTCCAGACACTGTTCAACTGTGAAATATTCTGCCTGGGAGTAGGGTGGAGTCTCTTTCTCAGGAGGTTTTTAAACAGATGCTGGATGATCATCTGCTAGGAGCACTTTGATTGGGTTTTCCAACAATGATATCTGGGCTGCTTATTGCTGTAGTGACATTTGGAAGGATAACTGGCACATTTCATAACCCGCCTCTGTGTGGTACATAAGGATTTATGCAATTACAGGATGTGGGTTGACTTTTAAGAAAGTAGGGATGACACTAGACACTGCCCATGGTTGGAGGACTCTATAAACCATCCTCACACTACAGAGGGGATTATTATCTGCCATTCCCATAGTTTGCCCAGTGGGTATATTGGGCAGGGCCCTGTTTGGACAATGGATGAATCCATTTGTGGATCCCAATCCCTTGCTCCGCACTGTTGGAGACTACAGAGGCCTGACCAAAGCCTACCTTGATAGGTTGTCTTCCAGAGTTGTAGAGAATAGCTCGAATCTCCACCTGCTCATTCCTGACTACTGAGTAAGGCAGCCTTAGGTCAATGAAGAAATCCTTCATGACGGTTATTTCATAAGGGTCAGCCACACAGATGCCTGTAAGCAAGATTGAGGGAAAAGGAAGCAGATGGAAAATCAAAAGCAGTCATGCATGAAATTTTCCTTCAAAGCACTTCTTAGGGGTTGTTGCAATCTACCATCATCTCCATAGTAGTTTCCTCTTAGGACCATCAAGGATGCTTTACCTTTTGTTTCTGAAATGCTCACAGCCAACACCTCCCAGGTTGTGATGGAATCCTTCAGGTAAAAAGGCACTATCTTGGATGAGATCCTAAGTACAAGAAGAAAGATGTCATGTCATATTTGGAGGCAGAGGTTATAATATGCAGACTGAGGTGGGAAATAGATAGGCTATTTATTATTTATTTAGAACCTTCATATCCCGTTCTACTCTACCTCTGTGGAGGGACTCAGAACGGCTAACAACAGCAAAAATTCAATGCTACACAATAAATAACATTTTAAAAACAACATGCATAATAAATAAATTATACAATACATAAAAAAGACAGTTCGCTGAGTTAAAAACATCATCCAACTAAATCCAAACATTGTGGTCCAATAACCGATTCAATCCATCAATCTGCGAATGCCTGATTCTAAAGCCAGGATTTCAGCTTCTTCCTGAAGGTCAGGAGGGAGGGGGCAGACCTAACCTCATTGGGGAGAGAGTTCCATAGAGAGTTCTTGGGACCACCACAGAGAAGGCCCTGTCTCTTGTCCCCACCAAGCACGACTGCAAAGGTGGTAGGGATGAGCAGGGCCTCTCTGGAAGATCTTAAACTTCTTGATGGTTTATAGGGGTAGATACATTTGGACAGGTAAACTGGGCCAGAACCATGTAGGGTTTTATAGGTTAAAAGCATCACTTTGAATTGCTAATTTATATGTGGTTGCTGCTGGCCATATAATTCCTCACCACTTCTTAAATTCTAGGGCAACTTCTTCATGCTCTTATGTCACAATATTCTTTTCATCCCTGCCACTAGCCACCAGTGAAATGGAGTCAAAGGCCAGGGGTCCGAGCAGGTGTCAAAGGCCAGGGGTCCGAGCAGGTGTCTCCCAGCTTCACCATCTGGGAGCGACCCTCCAGGAAGGACCGGAGCCACGACAAAGCCGTGCCCCCAAGGCCCATCCCAGAGAGTCGTCCCAGAAGGATACCATGGTCAATGGTATCGAAAGCCGCTGAGAGAACCAGCAGGGTCACACTCCCCCTGTCCAGCGCCCTGCAGTGGTCATCCGCCAAGGCAACCAAAGCAGTCTCGGTACCATGACCAGACCGGAAGCCAGACTGTGACTGGTCCAGATAGTCAATGTCATTTAGGAAACCCTGGAGCTGAGAGGCGACCACCCGCTCCAGCACCTTGCCCAAAAACGGGAGGTTGGAAATTGGTCTGTAGTTGCTCAAGACCATGGAGTAAAGGGAGCCTTTTTCAAGAGTGGTCTAATCACAGCCTGTTTCAACCCAGATGGAAAAGTCCTCTGCTCCAACGATGCATTAATGATTAACACAAACCAATCAATCAACCCACCTCTAGCCGATTTAATTACCCAAGAAGGGCAAGGATCAAGAGCCGACGTGGTTGCCCTCACAGCCCCAAGGACCCCCTCCATGTCCTCAGGATGAACAAGCCGAAAAGAATTCCACAAAACCGGACAAGCAGATGCCTCGGTCACCTCCTCTGGCACTGTATTTAAGCTGGTATCTAACTCGAGGCGTATCTGAGTGACTTTATGGTGTGCAAAATCGCAGCACTGAGTTGTCGGGTCATCAAAGGCCTCCTCCACCCCAGGGGGGTGAAGGAGTTCCCCAACGACCCAAAACAGCTCCGAAGATCTATTGGATTCAGACGCTATGCGGGCAGTCAAGAAGGTCTCCTTGGCTGCCCATATAGCTGCAGTATATGCCCTAAGTGAGGCTCTAGTCCGCGTTTGGTCGGAGATACCCTGAGATTTCCTCCATATGCACTCTAGACCCCTTCTTGTGCACTTCCACCCAGCCAACTCCTCAGTGAACCAGGGGCATGGCGTGTCTCTGTGCAGTGAGAGGGGACGTTTGGGAGTGATCGTATCTATCACCCTGGCCATCTCACTGTTATAGCAATCAACCAGGGCATCCACAGGGTCGCCATGCTCCATGACAGAAAGAACCCCAAGATTCCACAGGAATCTATCCGGATCCATCAGTCTCCTGGTCCTCCACCCCTGCGAAGGTTAGAGGACACAGAAAGTCTAAAACTGATCAGAGGATGGACCATGACAATGGAAGAATATTTTGCTCTTCCACTCTGACTGTTCCGCTGTCTGCAATAAAAACTAGGTCAAGTGTATGTCCAGCCTGATGAGTGGGTCCAGATGTAACTTGTGATGGCCCCATGGTTGTCATGACAAGCATGAAGTCTTGAGCCGCTCCTGTTAAAGTGGTTTCTGCATGAATGTTAAAGTCCCCCAGCACAATCAAGTGCTGGGAGACCAGAGCCGAATTGGAGACCACATCTGCTAGCTCTGGCAGGGAGACTGCTGAGTCGCGGGGTGGACGGTACACGAGCAGAATCCCCAAGCTATCACAGTTTCCCACCTTCAGGTGAACACACTAAAATCCAGAAGATTGCGGCACAGTGCATCTGACCACGGCAATGGACTGCCAAAAGACTACTGCGACCCCTCCTCCCTGCCCACCAGACCTAGCCTGCTGGTGCACCCCGAAGCCAGGTGGGTACAGCTGGGTGAGATTTATCCCGCCCAGTTCGTCCAACCAGGTCTCAGTGATGCAAGCCAGGTCCACCCCCTGATCCAGGATCAAGTCCTGGATGGCAGCTGTTTTTCCATTGACGGACTTGGCATTTACCAGCAGGATCTTAATTCCAGGGGGTCTGTCATGGAGTCTACCACATCCTACCTTCTCCAAGGTCACAAGAACTCTCTTGCGCTTCTCCCTGGTGTGTTGGTGACCAGCAATTCTCCTCCCTCACACAACCTGAATGGTGCCCATCCCCTCCAGAACCCCCCCCCCCTCCCTGGGAATTGGATTCAATGGCTAGTCAGCTCTCTGAACAAGGGGACCTAGATCGTGATCTACTTTGAGGGTCATATGAGGATGTCTCCAGTGTCATAGAGGAAAGGGAGTCATCAAGGGAACTGAGAGGACTGAAAAGTGCCCTTGGGCAGGAGAGTGTGGCAGATTGAGTAGGGACAACAGATGCAGATGGGGTTTCAAATTGATACTGTATGGGTGGAGGGGTCCTAACAGGGGAGCTATTTGTGGATTTATCACTGGAACCAGGAGGATCATGGTGGGAAGTTTCCAAAATGTTGACAAACTTCACCCCCCCCCCCCCCCCCGCTTTCTCCAGCTCCTTGTGATGAAGTCCTTACTTGTCTCCTGTAAATTTGAAATTTCACTGAGCTTTCTGTTTCCAAAATAGGGCAAGTGAAAGATCTTTCAAACTGTCCTCCCTATTTTCTGCTATCTCCCTCCCTCCACCCTGGAGACCCATGCATGGCTGGGCACTCTTACCCTGTATATGTGGATTTATTCATACATTTTAATATGTGAATGTTTTAATACATGTTTTTATTTTATGGGAAAATACTGTTTGCCTCCAGATTGAAAAGTAGGCTGCTACTGAGGGAGGAATATAGAAGATATATACCCTTCATCATTAGGAGCTTCTGTTAGCACTTTTGTATCCCACAACCAGCTTTCTGGAAATTGAGTCCTGGATGTAATTCCATCTTCTTCCATGATTAAGTCCTCACTTTCACCTAGGAAAACATGACAGAGAAGTGGTTGTGATTATCTTATTTGTCCTGTTTATCTGTATTTCTTGATAATGACTCAAAGATTGACTTTTAAGAAGGGGGTTCTTGTTCAAGAAGAATAACTCTTTGGCCTAGTTAAAAATGATGGATCTCATCTTACTGTGCTTTGGTACTTATTGTTTATGTTTTTTGTGGTATCCACGTTATCCGCCACCACAAGTCTGTTATAGAGAGACTGTAACAGAAGAACTAAGGTTCACAATGCATTAATTTACTGAGGGTATGGCCAATAAACAGACTTTGCCACCAAAAAGAGGTTTTACTTTTTCACAAGAGCAAATCCATCTTTAGACAACTACTGTTCATGGTGCATAGATCAATCGTTTATTATTTTAACTGCCTCAGAATGACTACAAACCCATTCTTCTACAAGGCCTTAATAAAGATTATATTAAATTCAAATCCATCTCTGTCACAAATGGAGGATTCCACATATACATAATGGAAAACATATCACCCTTTTCACTCATTAAAAAGAGTTCACCCTTTAAGTCATTCACATTTTACACACACACATGATATTGCAAGAGAGTTTTGCAAAGAGAAAAGGGAAGTTCTACTTGCTTCTAGCCAGTTGCAGTTCATCCTCCCGTCGATTCTGATCTCGTATGTCTTTGATAAAATGGCAACATTCAAGGAATACAGTCTTGCATTCATTTTGATCGTCTATGTATTCAGAACGCTTTTCACAGCTGTATCCCATGGGGTTTTCGTACATGCCATCTTCACAACATTTTCTTAGCTCCTTGTTAGCATACTGGGTTGCTGAAATATGTAACTTGAATGAAATATCAGAAAATGTCCTCCCTAAACTACTCTTGCTAATGTGTTCAACAGGAAAGAAAACACAGATCAATTCATTACTTATCGAGGATTTGCTTATCCAAAATATCTGAACATGGTTTGACTTTTTGACTAAATTCTATACACTGCCAATTGCTTCACTTTCAAATGCCACCATCCCGACTAATGTCAGGCATAGACCCAAACTGTCTCTCAAAAACCAGTCTTGCTATTTACATTTACAAGAGGGGTCGTACTATCATATGTGGTAGTCATGTAAAAAAAAAAATCAAAATATTGGAAAATTGTGCACAATGAATGTAGAAAGATATTGAAAATTGACTTTCCAATGAGGCCGGAATGCTATCTTTGAGGAATATATGACTTGGATTTATTTAAAGATTTAAATGCTGATAAATTGTTCAGTTTTTTTTTTTTTTTGCGACTGCAGCAAGAATGACTTTTGCCAAGTTTTGGAAAATTCCCACAAAGACTCAGTGGTTGGACAAAATAATGGAAATTAAGGACATGGACAAATTGGTATTTTTACTAAAATCAAGCAACGGAAAGGGAATAAAAATGATGGACTGGATGGTTTTTGAAGACTATATTAATAAGGATGGTAAATAAGATTTTTGACAAAGACAGAGGAAAACTATATTTGGGGGGGGGGCAATAGAAGAAACTTTTTCTTCATTATGGGGTGAAAGGAGGAAGAAGAGAAGTCAGCCTTTTTTGTCTTGTTTTGTCCTGTTTTCTTTTTAGTATGTGTATTGTGTTGTATTGTGATGTTATGTTACATTTGTAAAATGAATAAAAATTACTTATAAAAAACAGTCTTGCTTTCAAACAAAAGGATAAGTTCATTGAAAGGTCAATATAAACTGAACGACTTCATTGTCAGGAATAAGTTGGTCATCAATAGTACCTTTTATGTGAGCAAAGCTTTTCAAAATGTATGTGTGCATATTTTTATTGGCACACACACACACACATATACACAGACTGGACCACAGCAACACGTGGCAGGGGACGGCTAGTCTATTAATAAACTTTCATTCCCCTTAATATACTGTAGTAGAGTGACATTATATTTGATCAATAACATAAAAACAGTCCAGATTCCACCCCATCCCCCTCCAAAGTAAAAAAATAATCTAGGACCCATTAGATCCTCCAGCATAACTCTGTGGTCAAATGCCATAGAATCATACTGGAAGACCTAAAATTTCCCACAGAGCCCACAAAGGATGTCAGTAACTTGACATACTTGGAAACCCCCAGGAGTTTTGCTGAGCAATGTCCTCATATGCTACCACTGGTCCAACTAGTCCAGTATCACCTACAGTATTGAGAAATAGCTCTTCAGTGACTCTCCTGCAGCCTTGAGGCCTGAATATTTTTCCAATCTGGTGCATATTTTTCAACATTATTAATTCAAACCCAAACTGGGGTCTTGGTCACTCCTCACATACCTTTGCTTGTTTTAGACTCGATAAGCTGTAAGGAGTTACGACGGCGCCTCTGTTTTGAAACCTGAGGGCATTTCCGATCTGGAAGGTTGTGGGAAAGGTAAAAAGAAGACATTATTGCCCCGACATGAAATAAAAAGAAAGTGCTCAATTCTATGATCACATGCATGCTGTTTGTCATCATGTTTATTGCAAGAGGAAGAGGCTCTCATGTCAGATCAATAGTTCTGACAAACATCCTACAGCATATTTTTCAGATCATAAGATACTAATTTTGAATGTTATCAGGGCCGTAGCCAGAAAAATTTTTTGGGGAGGGTTGAAAATTTGGGGGGGGGGTTGAAAATTTCAGGGGGGGGTAGGGTCACACTGAAGCAAAGAGCACAGCAGGGGGCAGAGCAGCCTTCAATAGCTCCGCCCCTGTCAACCACCTCCACCAAGTCTGGCCTCCTTAATGAGAGCATTCAACACCCCCCCCCCAACTTGGTTGCTTCGCTACATCGGATATTGCTGCAAGTAACGACAGTGTGAATAAATTGTCAATATTTGCTTGAGATAGTGCTTGCAGTTCTGGAGGGACTCTTAATTTTTTGCGTCTCATAGACTTCGCAGGGGGGTTTGGTTAACCAGTTAAAATTCATTAGTAAACCAGGTTTTTTTTAACCTGAAAATTTGGGGGGGGACCCCCCCCCCCCAGCTACAGGCCTGAATGTTATAGACTACCAGCATGGCCTAGACATAAAATGTGTTGCTTCTAAAACTGGAATTTCTTTGCCACATCACACATTTGGAACTTGGAAACACCAGGTTAGTTTTTGAAGAAAGTAATATTTTAAATGGAAATTAATATTTTAAATCAGGAATGGGGATTTATGTGGCCCTACAAGAATGTTTTGTGGCCCTCAGCACCTCTATAATTTTCAGACCAACATTTTTCTTGACAAAAAAAGGAGAGAGGATGCATTGCTGCTTATGGGAGCCTTTATTTACACTAACTATTGGGTTTGTTTCTTTTTTTCCAGTAGTCCAGAGTGCCAGGGCAAAATAGTGGCCCCTCTCACCTCTATGAATCTATGATTACTTAAGGTATTCATTTGTTCTTTAAATAAATACATTTTAAAAAATCATAGATTCATACAAAGGGATCTTGTGTGTCATCAAGTCCAATCACCTCCTGAATATCCAGGTAAAACATACCCAAGAGAGCAATACAATCTATTTCTGAAGCCATCCAAAAATGATATCTCTGAGCAATTGGTTCCTTTGCTGAACCACTCTTTATGTCAATACTCTCCCTCTAATATTCAACTGAAATATTCTAAAACCATTAGAACTGGTTCTATCCTCTGCAGCCGTAAGGTATAGAGCAGCCACCTCCTCTCTTGACAGAGATATATGAAGTAGGCCTGGGTAACAACGGAAAAATTTGTTTCTAAAATCGATTTGTATTTGGGGGTTTTTTTTGTTTCGATATTTAAAATAATTACAAAATTTTCCTTTTAAAAAGTTCGATATTTACGAAATTTCGTAAATGGTAAAAAATTAACGAATCGATTTCCAAAACAATAACGAATCGATTCGTTAATGGCGGACGCGACCGCGAAATATGCTAAAAAACCTCCAAAACCTTCTGAAGCTTCCCTCTCCCTCTGTTGTTGACTGTTGGTGTGATATTATAATTTTTTTCACTAATTAAACCATAAAACTGGCCCAGACATGCAGAAATAATAACGAAACGACCTCAAAACAATAACGAAACGAATACAATATCGAAATACGAAGCATTTACAAAACGTTTTTGAAAATTCGTTTTTTTTAATAATTGCTCCAGAATGGTTCGTTATCGTTTTGTAATTGAAAAAATTAACGAATTATTAACGAATTACGAATTAACGAAACGAAACCGCCCAGCCCTAATATGAAGTATATGACCATGTCAGCCATGAGTCTTCTCTTCTCTTCACCAAGCTCAAGATTCTCAGCTACTTAGACTTTTCCTCATATGGTTTGTTCTCCATATCTTTTATAATCTTTGCTGCTTTTTTCTGAACCCATTCCAACTAGTCTATGCCCTTCTCATAATGAAGCACCAGGCCTGATTTCAATCATGAATATGAGTGGCAATGTATTAATTTCCCTGATATCTAACATTTAATATTATCACATTCTTTTTCAAAGGTAACATTTCATGCTGTGGACACGCCCCATTCCTACCTGATCTCTGTTTTGTGGAAAGCTTGTTGCTGGTCTCCAGGGCCAACCCAGCATCTGCAAACACACCCACATTGTCCCTACCACTGCCAGCAGTACAGCCGATGTCACTCTTTTCTACCGTATCCCAGATCTGGAACAGAATAGACCCAAGTGAAGCAAAGCACAAACTCAGAAAATTCCAAGTCAGGAAGATCCTCAACAACTTGGGTGTCAAACCCCATGGACTTCCGTGCCTTACCTTAGTCTGACTTATCTTATTCTTTTTGTTCAGGACGTAGACACCTTTGTCCACAGCCACAAGGCCGACCCGAGCATTTGCATCCCCCTCTACTTTGATTGCCATTGCAGCTCCTGGCTGATGAATTTGATTGTCAGCCTCAGTTGCTCCTTTCACAGTCAGCTGTTTGGGAGAGGCAACAAAAATGTGGAAATTTTGTGCATAAAAAGTGCCCTTAACAAGTGAACAGCTTTTGAATTAATTGCAGAGATGGTTTAGAGGCCCCCTGCCCACTTTCTTAAACAGTCTCCTCAGTTTAATCTACAACCCACAATGGGACACAAGGAACCTTCCTAGAGTTTGCAGACTTTTGCTTGAATACCTCTAAGAGAAGGCCTTGTTTTCACATTGAGAAATAATATCAGGAGAAAGGGTGACCTACCATTCCCATGCAGGTATCCTCCACATCCACCCAGACAGAGTCGGCCACAATCTCCCTGTTTTGCACTTGGTAGTAAGCCACAATTCGGAAAGAAGGGATGAGATTGGGGGTGATGGGCAGCGACATAGTCACTAGATTCTGCCCGACTGATCTGGGTTGCCTTCCAACCTTGAGTATCCTCCCTTTACTCAAGATCTGATGATGAACAAGACACATGGATTAATTAAGAGGGTTGGGGGTTGGTTTAAACAATGGAAGCCTAACATGGATAAGATAATGACATCAGCATCACACATATACCAGAAATGAAATAAAAATATTTCTACTTTCTCATAAAGTCCTGTGACATTCGTGACTTTGCTTATTTCTGTTGGCTTCACAAAAAGGGCCACATTGAGAAGCTGTTCTCAAAGAAGATTGTAGTGTAGGAAAGATTGTCAGAGCCAGCTTTCTCTTGAGAACTAGACACATGACGTTTCCCCTTCCCTTGAAAACAAATGCAAACTAATAAAAACAAGAGCCCTGGATTTCCATTGTGCCCAGCCATATTTCACTTACTATGTAGGTGAAGTATCTTATTTCGTTCATTGTGTTTAGATTATTGCTTTTTATGTTGAAATTGACAGGTAGGGTGTTCCCAGCCTTGAGGTCTGCAGATGAAACTGCTAAATGGAGATAGTTTCCAGACCCTCCCTGGGTCTGATAAGCTGTAGCCACCATGGTCTTGGTTGCCTGGCGTACATCCGAGAGTCTCTCCTGTTTGGTTTTTACCTAGAAGAAGTAAGAAGGATTTTAAAATATATTTCAAAATCTACAGTAACTTTTAACTTAATCACTCACCAATCCGTAATGAGCTAATGGGGGGAAAGGCATAATGGTCAAGGGAGACAAAATTAGCAAATATCTTGTACCTATCATGATCTGTGGAGTATCTCTATGATGGGACCTGTTATGTGAACAGCAGAGTAAGATGTGACAGTTAATTGGAAGTTCAGGAAATAAGTACAGATTTTCTCTGAAAATAGAAATGTTAGCGAGTGAATTTGGAATATTCCCTGCATCAATAATGGCAACATTTCCCCATCAAATGTATTTTTTCATTAGTTGTCATCTATTATGGCTGAGGCTGGATAAAGACAAAGCTGCCCTTTTCTCTTTTTTTTTCTCATCGCCTCTTTCTACCACTGAGCCATAGATCTTACTATGAAAGTGAGCCAGGAGAGAATGCTTCTAGAACATGGCCATATAGCCCGAAAAACCTACAACAACCCATTGTGCCAACAGTTTCACCTCTGTGTCTAGATGATAAGGCAACCTGCACTCACAGTGTTATGGAAAGAAATAAAAGATAATCTCACCGTTGGACTTTGGGGGTATAGTTTGGAGTGGAAAGTTGTCTCTCACAATCTCTCATTGTGGGGGGGGGGGGGGAATCACAGATGAAAAGCCTGGTTGGGAGGCGTGTATCCAAAACTATCAGGAATATCTTTTAAGCATAAAAGACTACACAGGATAATTCACCTGAGATAGGTATGGATAAGACAGAGGCAACAAGAAGTGAGGGGACATCTACTCCTAGGAAGGGAAATTCGCTCCTGAAAGAGTTATCATGGGTAAAAAGTGTCTCCACAGAAGCATTATAACCAATCCTTGTTTCTATGACCACCCAATGTTTTCAAAATCCAATTATCACAGGGAAAGAAAGTGAAGTGAAATCTTTTGAATAGGGATACAGACAGCAAAACAAACAACACATGCTGCCCAAAGCGAATATGTATACATTTTTGGCTGAAGTCATACATAAAAACTGTACCTGTTCCAACTTACAAACAAATTCAGAGCCTATATTGTTTGTAACTTGGGGGCTGCCTGTAGATGCAACAGAGAATGATTTATGACATATGCTGCCAGATAAAAAAATCTACTGTGCAGGAATAAGCTATTTCAACAGAAATTAATTTAGTTTTGTTATTAGCTGGAAAGGCTTTAATTAACCCCTTCCTTGCTCAAGATAACACAGATGAAAATTCTGCAAAAAAAATCATGAAGTTCAAACAATAGCTTTTTGAAACAAAATCAAGACACAAACAAAAACTCAAAGACATAATATCAAAGCTAAACAAATTTTTATCAGTTGCAAAATAAATCCCGGGGGTGGGGGGAGTAACAGACCAGACCAGAGATGAGATTAAAGATATAACAGACCCAGTCAATCAAAGATTTCCAGTTCATAAAAAAGCCACCATTTGAACAACCAGATTTCTATAAAAAGATTGGGTATATAAATGAGATGGAAGCAGACATGCGGAGACAAATTCATCTTCAAAGTGAGGTTCAAACAATCCCACATAACATTACAGGGAAGAAGATGCTAAAGTTTTTAAGTTTTGCTGAAAGAGACAGACAAATCTGGTTTAAGAGGAATAATCTACAAGAAAGCCCATATAGGCCTTTTGAGAGCCTTTTCTGATGGAGTAAATATGTTAAAGTTAAATGAATATATTGTTATTTTACGGATGGCTTGACCTATGAGAAAAACATTGAAACAAAAGGAGAACTTCAGGAGGATTAAAGTAACCTAACCTAATTGAATGGAGTGGATTGATGAAATAAATAAATAGAAAAAGATATATAAAGATGAAGAATTGAACTTTTGATAAAATGTTTAAAGTAGTAATATCATCTCTGGGCAGATGGAACATGGAAGATGAAGGAGGGAATATAATAAGATATATTGGTATTATATTGAAAAAATGTTGAAATACATTACAATTATTTGATGGGGAAAATACGGGGGCGGGGGTGAGATAATATAGCATGACATGATTAATCTAAATGTATCTAAATTTTAAGGGAATAAAAGTGGGTGAAATATTAAGGTCATAATCCAAATATGAAGTTATTACAAGTCAAAAGAATGGGATATCTAGTCAAAAGTGATAAATTGTTTATATATCAATTTTTAATTTTTTGTCTTACAGTATATGTATTTAGCAGAAGTTGAAAAGTGGTGAGAAAAGCGGTATATAAATACTGTAAATAAAATAAAATAAACAAATAAACAAGAAGTATATGTAATAGTTGCCTTTGCTTGAGAAGTGGAAAAGTAAGTCGTATTTTTAATGTGTGTGTGTGTGTTTGTAATTTTTGTGTGTGTAGTTTTACTATTTTTTGGTTTTGGTTTATTGTATATTTGGATGTTGATTCATGTTGAGAAGGATAGATTGTGAGGATGGGATATTGTGACTGTTTTGTTTTGATATTTGTATTTGTTTTTTGTTGTGTTTGCTTTTAAATTACAAGGGGGAACGAAAGATACTCTCACATTGACTCACAGTGATTCTTAGCTCTTGTGCGTCTGCTGGTGTGTTCAGAATCAGCTTGGCTGTCCCATCGTTCTGGGTAGTTGCCTCAGCCCGAATGGGCTCTGATACCACAGGGACACGGGCAGCTGGGGAACCATCAGGGTTGGTGATGAACACCTGTGAAGAAATTTCAAGAAGAAGAAGAAGAAGTTACCCACCTCTATCTCAGCTTGAAGCAGTGTACAACACAAGCAAAACATATCAACATAAAACACATACTATAAAATACATATATTAAAACACATGGTACCAAATTAAAATACAATGCAATTTAAAATGCATTGTTGAAAGTTGAGTGGATAGGGCTTCCAGAAGAGATGGGTCTCTACTTGTATTTTGAATCCTGATACTTCATTTAGCTGTTGGAGCTCCTCCGGCAGGTCATTCCACAGTCTAGGGGCAACCAGGTGACCACTGACAGTCAGATTCTGGTTGATTTGAGTAAACGTCCCCCAGAGGACCTAAGTGCCCTAAGGGGTGGATTATACAGGTAACTTCAGATCCTGTAGGTAGCCTGGATACATACCATGTAGGGCTGTAAAGGTTAGATCCAACACTTTGTAGTTTTCCCAGAAACTAATTAGCAATCAGTGGAGTGACTTTAGGATGTGATACATTCACTACTAGATGTTTCCATAACCAATCTGGATGCCATATGTTGAACTTATTGGCATATCATAACTTGGAACTGAGGTAGCCCAAAGTACATCACATTGCAAAAGTACAATATTGAGGTTACCAGCAACTGCACCACCATCTTTAGGTCTTCTGATTCTAGGAAAGGGTGCAGCTGGCATATCAGTAAAATCTGGTAGTAAGCACTCCTGATTGTCACAAATATCTGGGCTGACCTTATAAAAGATAGATTCAGGAGCACTCCCAAGCTGCGAACACAGACTTTTGTGTGTGTGCATGCATAACCCCAACCAGGAATGGTTGATGTGCTTCTGACCCCATGTTAGGACTTTTCATGGCAAGCACCTGTCTTATCTGGATGCAATTTCTTTTTTTTTTCCAAGCAGCAAATTACCTCCTCCAGGCATTCATTCAAAGGAGACATGCTATCCTTAGCTAAAACTGTTTCTTTTTTTTAAATGTGTTTTTTATTGAAGATTTTGAAAGGGGGACCTCGAGAGAGTGTCAATCATCGACATATCATAAAATAAAAGCATTTGAGTGGGGGTGGGGGTGACGGGGCAGGGGTGTGAAGGCGAGGGCGGGTAGGAGGGGGGTAGCTGGATAGTGGGGATGGATAGGGAGAGGTATGCGGGGAGTGGAGGTTAGGGGTAGGCTGAGTTTGTGATATTAGTCTATTGATTAGAGCCCGATGTGCAGGTTAGTATAGGTGCTTGCAAGGTTTCCTTCGCGAGCTTCTTCTTTTTTCTTCTTAACTGATATTAAAATAAATTTTGACTGGGGACCAGTCAACTTTACTTTTCGCCCTTGTTTGCGTACTTTTCAGATGTTCTGTTAAACAGTTTTAGCTAAAACTGTTTCTGAAGGCCTATATAATCTGAGAAATTTATTTGGGTGTTTATTTGCTGTATTTATTTATTTATTTACTGTATTTGTATACCGCCTTTCTCAGCCAATTGTCGACTCAAGGTGGTTTCCAACAAATCAGTACATATAAAAACATAATACAGATTAAAACATTAAACAATATAAAACACCACAAAAGCAATAAAAACAACATCATTAGCATCTCATTATTATCAAGCATTGTCCAGTTCCAATGTCAAATCGTTCGATTTCCTATATTAGCTACTCTGCATTTGTAAATGCTTGCTCAAACAGCCATGTTTTAACTTGCCTCCTAAACATTAAGAGGGATGGAGCAGATCTAATCTTCCTAGGGAGGGTGTTCCATAGTCGAGGGGCTACCACTGAGAAGGCCCTGTCTCTCATCTCCGTTAAACGTACTTGAGACAAAGGCAGGACCGAGAGCAGGGCCTCCCCAGACAATCTTAGAGTCCTTGATGGTTCATAAGGGGAGACATGTTATGACAGGTAAATTGGGTCAGAACCGTTTAGGGCTTTATAGGCCAAAGCCAGCACTTCGAATTAGGCCCGGTAGCAAATTGGCAGCCAGTAGAGCTGGTGCGACAAGGGGGTTGTATGCCCCCTAAGCACCACTCCTGTTAGCAACCTGGCTGCTGTTCGTTGGAATAGTTGAAGCTTCTGGACCGTCTTCAAAGGCAACCCCATGTAGAGAGCGTTGCAGTAGTCTCTACGGGATGTAACCAGAGCGTGGACTACCATGGTCAAGTCAGACTTCCCAAGGTACGGGCGCAGCTGGCACACAAGTTTTAACTGTGCAAATGCTCCCCTGGTCACCGCCGAAACCTGAGGTTCCAGGCTCAGCGGTGAATCCAGGATCACACCCAAGCTGTGAACCTGCGTCTTCAGGGGGAGTGTAATCCCATCCAACACAGGCTGTAACCCTATGCTCTGTTCAGCCTTGCGACTGAACAGGAATACCTCTATCTTGTCTGGATTAAATTTCAATTTGTTCACCATCATCCAAACCATCACAGCGGCCAAGCACTGGTTCAGGACCTGGACAGCCTCCTTAGTAGCGGGTGGAAAGGAGTGACAGAGTTGAACATCATCTGCATACAAATGACACCGCACCCCGAAACTCCGGATGATCCCCCCCCCAGCGGCTTCATGTATATGTTGAACAACATGGGAGACAGTATTGAGTCCTGAGGAACCCCACAAGACAAAGGTTGCGGGGTTGAACAGGTGTCCCCCAACAACACCTTCTGGGTGCGACCCTCCAGAAAGGACCAGAACCACGGTAAAACAGTGCCCCCCAGGCCCATTCCGGCGAGCCATTCCAGGAGGATACTGTAATCGACAGTATTGAATGCTGCTGAGAGGTCCAGCAGAACCAACAGGGACACACTCCCCCTGTCTAGCTCCCAGCGAAGATAATCAACTAAGGCAACCAAGGCTGTCTCGGCTCCATGTCCCAGTCCAAAGCCAGACTGTGCCGGATCCAGACAATCCGTGTCATCCAAGAATACCTGGAGTTGTGAGGCCACCACATGTTCCAGGACTTTGCCCAAAAAGGGGAGATTGGAAACAGGCCGATAGTTGACGAATTGAGTGGGGTCCAGTGATGGTTTTTTCAACAGCAATTTTATTATAGCTTGTTTTAAGCTCGCTGGAATATTGCCTTCCCAAAAGGAGGCATTAACCAACACCTTTACCCACTCGGCCAATCCCCCTCTGGCCTCCTTTAGAAACCAGGATGGGCAGGGGTCTAGAATGCATATGGTCGCTCTCATTCCTCCAAGTATCTTGTCCACATCCTCGGTTTTCACCAATTGAAATGAATCCATCAAAACCGGACAAGCAGATGCTCATGTTACATCCTCAGAGACTGCCCTTAACATGGTGTCCAGACCAGAACAGGTCAAAGTGACTTTGTCCAAAAAGAACCGACCAAATGCTTCACAGCGGACTGCTGAGTTCTCAGGGCTCCCATCCTGAGTGTTGGGATTTAATAGGCCTCTGACAATTCAAAACAGCTCCACTGGGCAGTTCTTAGTGGACGCAATATTGGCCGCAAAGAAAGATTTCTTTGTGGCCTTTATTGCCGCGGCACATGCCCTTAGAAAGGCCACAAACCGTGTTCGATTTGGCTCGCTCGGATCCAAATGCCACACGCTCTCTAGTTCCCCCTTCCTTCACTTCATCGCTGCCAACTCCTCATTGAATCAAGGAGATGGTTTAGCTTGGCTACTTGAGATGGGACATTCTGGAGTGATCGTATCTATTGCCCTGGCCATCTCCCCATTCCAGAGGGTGACCAGAGCATTGACAGAATCACCTACCGAGGTGGCGGGAAACTCCCCAAGAGCCATCAGGAAACCCTCCGGATCCATAAGCCTCCTGGGGCAGACCATCTTAATGGGTCCTCCACCCTGCAGAAGTTAGTGGGTGCAGTGAGCCTAAACCTGATCAGGTAGTGGTCAGTCCATGGCAACGGAGTGGTAGTCAGCTCCTCTATACCGCCACCATCCCCCCATCCCTGGCAGAAAACCAGATCTAATGTGTGTCCAGCACTGTGAATAGGGCCAGTTACTAATTGAGACAGCCCCATGGTCATCATGGAAAACATGAAGTCCTGAGTCACCCCTGATAAGGCGGTCTCAGCGTGGAGTTGAAGTCCCACAGCACAATGAGCCATTGGGACTCCAACGCCAGGCTCGAGACCACCCCAGGAAGCTAAGGTAGGGAGACCGTAGTGCAGCATGGTGGACGGTACACTAACAGAATCCCTATTCTGTCCCAGTCACCTACCTTCAGGTGGACACATTCAAAGTTGGTTGACTGCAGGATGGGGCACCTGGTCAGGGAGATGGAATCCCTATAGACTACTGCAACCCCACCTCCTTGCCCTCCGGATCTCGGCTGGTGCTGCATGGAGAAACCTGGTGGGCAAAGCTGGGTCAGATTTACACCTCCAGTCTCATCCAACTAGGTCTCTGTTATGCACGCCAGATCTGCCTGCTCATCCAGAATTAAATCCTGGATGAAAGCTGTTTTTCCATTGACAGATCTGGCATTCAACAGCACCACCTTTAATCCGGAGGGACCGCCATCCTTCTTACTTGCTCCAGGCCAGAGCTTGTCCACATCAGAAGTACTCACTAATTGAAACTGATCCAGTGTAATTCCACTCAAGAGTTGCTGGGCACTTCGTTATCAACTTTTGCTCCAAGGACAATATCTAAGTCAGATTTCAAACTAGATTATAATGTCTGTATAAAACTGGCCCAAAATCACTTTCCCCAGGATATCAGTAACATCCGAGATTTCAAAGGGCTACTTGTGTGTCTCCATATGAAGACAACACTAGCACCTCTGGAACTGGACCATGAGACGAAAGAGGAATTCACTTAATATTACCATTAGTTCATAGGGCATTCCTGGCTTGAAGAACTTCGGGGTTTTTGTGAAGAGGATATGATAGGGAGATGTCACTATATTAATGCCACCCCTCTCAGCCATCACCATGTCACTTCCTGAAGAAAAAGGGGTGAGGGGGCAGGATAACAAAAAAAAAATCAAGTTGTTAGTGTCAGGATTATTGAGGTATGCATGTGTGTTTTTCAATGTGTTTCTATGTAATTCAAGATGGATTAAGATGTGTTTCAAGATGGATTCTATTATGTTGTTCAATTGTGTATAAGAAATACTGTGAGAGGCAGAGAAAATGTAACCTTGACAGAAGTGAGATAACGTGTTCTCTGGCTGTGGGAAGTAGAAGGGGGATCCGGTTACAGCCAGATGTCTGATAAGCAGATGTTCAGAAACTGTTTGTGCTGTGCTATGTATTTCCTGATTATAGCCCGCTAAGAATGGGCGTATGTAGATGTACTTAGTAAACTTTGTGTTATTTTGCAACTGTAAGACTGCAGAGTCCTGATTTTTGGAGTCCTGTGCCTGTTGATCTAGCAACCTCTTCTGCTGCACATTTACCCCCAAATTTCTCTGACAGTTAGAAGGGAAGAACATGTTGAGAGAATACACACAAACCCTAAACTATTAAAAGTATTTCATTGGTGATAGTTTTATACCAAATCAAGTTTCTAAAATAACAAAGCTATTTTAAGCCACAACTCACCTGATTCTGTCATCACTGTTACAGAAATGTAGAGAGAGTACCCAACAAGCCCATTAAGGTTGCGAAATCGGGTCTGGAACATGTCTCTTGATAGCACCGCATCAGCTCTCCCATTTTGAATCTATAAACAAGATTTTAAAAACATAAAAAGAAAATCAAAGCCGTATTTCTAAACCTCTCCCCACACCGAAATATAACGATCTTCTTACTGGAATTCTCCTCAATGAATCTGGAATGCTTTTTTTCTCATTATCAGTTTTCACTCCAAAAATGACAAAGGCGACACCTTCTACATTCTGCTTGTAAAGGTACCTGAAAGAACACCATGAAACTAAGACATTTTTGCTTGCATTGATTTTGTTAACATGGAACGTAGAGGCAAGGCATTTGCATATGCTATCAAATGAGAAGTAGTTCTCAACCTGTAGGTCCCCAGATGTTTTGGCCTTCAATTCCCAGAAATTTCTGAGTATATATGTTGCTTCAGAGCATCATTGTTCTAAATCAGTGATTCCCAAAGTGGGCGTTACTGCCCCCTGGTGGGTACTGCAGCGATCCGGGGGGGCAGTAATGGCCACAGGTAAATTTGGGGGCGATGAATAACTGTAAGGGGGCGGTGAAAGCATCAAAGATAGAAGAGAAGATTTAGAAAAATTGATTTCCAGGGGGTAGGTCAAATAAGTTTGGGAACCACTTTTCTAAATGATCAAGAATTCTCAGGTGGAAATTCAACATTTTGATTTGGTGGTTTTTATCCATCACAAAGAATGACCATGTCTTCACAAAAAATAGACTACTAGCTGTAAACAACTGTTTATACTTCATTCAACATGAAATGTGGATTTCACTGCACATAGTTAATCGGCTCCCAATCCTAAATCTATTTATCAGGAAGTAAACTCTCATGTTGTAAAATAAAGTCCTTCCACTATTATTTTATTTCCAAATAACTGTACAAGTGATGACAAATGAAATGATTTTTTATTTGAAGATCTTAAATCATCATATTACTTTAAAAGTTTTATCAATTAAACAGATTTGGTTAAAATAGTGAAAAGTTGAAACGTTATTTTTTCCCAATAATTCATGATGCAATTTGTTATAGGAATAACCAGCTTAATTTAGATTTAGCAGTAAACTATTAGATTGCTCATTACAACCAACTCTATGGTTGGTCTTGTCAGTTCTGCACCAATGCAGATATGCTGAAAACTCTTAATATGTTTTAGTCAAAAGAAAATACTAATGTGGATTATTATATAATGGGTCAAGATATTTCGGAATATGATGAAACCGTAATATTTTATTCAATATAATGTAAGGAAATAATTTTCAAATTGATTTTCTTCATACCTATATTTTTTCACTTGATAATATTTTATATTTTATATACAATATGGAGGCAAACATCAATCTGGACTGCATACCAGACAGTATTCCCATGGTTTTCTGGGCTAAATACCAACCCCTCCCCAAAAGACCTCAAAAACAGTGTAAAAAAACAAAAGAACTTACCCGGCCTCCATTAGAGGGCTGCCAGAGATCTCCTGGTGTGTACAAATGATGTGCCAGGAGAAGTGGGGGAGGAAAATCACCCCCACCCCTTTGTCCTGGTGAGTCATTTGTACACGCCAGAAGAATTCCAGCAGCCCTCTAATGGAGGCCAGGTAAGTTCTTTTGTTTTTTTTTTACACTGTTTTTGAGGTCATTTGGGGAGGGAGGTTAGAGTTTCTGTGTGGTCCCCCAGGAAGTTCTGGACACCCATCCCAGAAAGCACACACTTTCTGGGGTGTGTGCGGGTAGGGGCCCAGGAACATCCATTTTTTTAAAACGCGGATGCTCCTGGGATAAAAGGTTGTGTGGAAGGGCCCTAAGTTTCACATAAAAGAGATGTCCATCAAGTTTGTCCCTGACCTACCTATCTGCTGAAAAAATTGTGTGAGTGAGGCAGGACTATTGTATGATGACAACTTTCCCTGGAAACATGCTTAGTGTAGATCAGTATGCAAATTACATCTTTCTGAAAAGTATTATGTAATTGGCTTCTTCTGAAGATAAGCAGGTAGTTTTCTCATTCTTTCCCACAGCTGCACATACACCCACCTCGCAGTGATAGCCACATTGAAATTTCTGTCAGTGTCAATATAGTAAAACTTCTCTTGTGGTTCAATGTGAACTTCAAAGCTTGGCAATACTGGAGAGAAAAAACAGGGAGAATAGGAGGAGTCAAACATTTACGACAGTAAAGACAATATTGATGTATGAGATTTTGGACTTTATTACACAAAGCTCCTGTTCCACAGCAGTTGTGTAGCCAATAATAGCAATTAAATACCTGCATGAGCACCATCATTATCTCACATCTCAGAATTCACGCAGAGATGTGGGCCTGTACTTTTCTTTCATCATTTATTTATTTACCGTATTTATATACCGCCTTTCGCAGCCCGAAGGCAACTCAAGGCGGTTTACAGTCGGCATAATTCATAACTTCATAACCCCACCAAGCCACATTTCCACTGCTCCCATTCTTTTACAGCAATTTCTTGATGGTCTTGATGGTCAAAAATGAATTCAAAAATCAAATACAAGTGAACATGTTTTTTTTAAAACAACTACTGGCTCTGAAATAGTGAAAAAGATGTGGGAAAGAGGAAGAGGAAATGATAGCGGAGTAGAACTGCAATCTGTGACATCATTTCAGAAGTGTCATTTTCAGAACTCCATCACATTTGGTAGGTGATAGGAAAGTAATGTACCGTATATACTCGAGTATAAGACGACCCAGATATAAGCCGAGGCACCTAATTTTGTCCCAAAAAAATGGGAAAACATTTTGACTCGAGTATAAGCCAAGGGTGGAAAATGCAGCAGCTACTGGTCAATTTCAAAAATAAAAAGATACCAATAAAATTACATTAATTGAAGCATCAGTAGTTTAAATGTTTTGGGATATTTACACAAAACTGTAATTTAAAATAAAACTGCCAAACTCTGATTAAATCAGTATTTTAATTTTCTTCAATGTAAATGTGCTTACGTATCCTTCCATTAATAATAAATAGAGTAAAATAGCAAATGTTATAATAACAATGAGTAAAATAATAAATGTAATAATGACAATAATATATAGAACAAAATAATAAATGCAATAATAATAAATAGAGTAAAATAATAAATGTAATAATAGCAATAATAAAGAGTACAATAATAAATGTAATAATAATGATAAATAGAGTAAAATAATAAATGTACTGTACATTCCCATCTCAAACTTCATCACATTGTGTACTGCAGGCACGTTGTTGAAACCTGACACTGAAAGCCTGTATTTTTTCATCATCCTCACAATGTTTCTATACATTTTTTAGCTAGAAAGAACTCCTTTGAAATACTTCATTAACTTTTTTTGGGGTCGTGTCAGGAGCGACTTGAGAAACTGCAAGTCGCTTCTGGTGTGAGAGAATTGGCCGTCTGCAAGGATGTTGCCCAGGGGACGGCAGGATGATTTGATGTTTTTATCATCCTTGTGGGAGGCTTCTCTCATGTCTCTGCATGAGGAGCTGGAGCTGATAGAGGGAGCTCATCCGCCTCTCCTTGGATTTGAACCTGCGACCTGTCGGTCTTCAGTCCTGCCGACACTGGGGTTTAACCCACTGCGCCACCGGGGGGCTCCACTTCATTAACTGACATAAGTGTGTATGTGGATCTTTTATTATATCATTAAAGCATCTCTCCATTCACTAGAAATAGAAGGAACAAATCACACATTATATGCTGAGCCAAATCTAGGTTTGATTCAGAACATGTGAACTGTGACTCCTTATAGCTCCACAACACATCCTTATGATATACACAGTTTGCATATTAAAACATATGCTCAAATTATCTCTAATGTGTTCCTTTAAAACCAGAAATGAACATGACTTTTCATAGCTTATGGGAAAGAGAAGCAGAGTGTTCAGCTAGAGATGCAGGCTGAGTCTGGGTCACTCTGTCAAAAGAGAAGCAGAGAGAGGTACATGGGGAGCGAGGGAGGAACAGAGAAAGGACAGCTGGGTTGCTGTGCGGAGAAGTGAGGATCCTGGCAGGAAGGGGTGAGGCTGAAAAACTCACCTGATACTTTAGTATATACGGTAATCTGCAGCTACTGATGGGTTTTCCTTTCAGTAGCAGGGAACATATTTATAAAAGAAAGTCCCATGCAGTCCAAGAGGCCCACTGCCATTAAATTTTGTTTCTTGGATTGTATGGGAGTTTGTTATATAAGCCACCTTAAGAGGATGATTGCTGTGAAACATTTTAAATATGACATGTTGAAATAGGAATAGCAATGGGTTGTTGTAGGTTTTTTTGGGCTATATGGCCATGTTCTAGAGGCATTTCTCCTGACGTTTCGTCTGCATCTATGGCAAGCATCCTCAGAGGTAGTGAGGTCTGTTGGAACTAGGAAAAGGGGTTTATATATCTGTGGAATGACCAGCGTGAGACAAAGGACTGTTGCCTGCTGGAGCTAGGTGTGAATGTTTTAGCTGACCACCTTGATTAGCATTTGATTGAAAAAACCTACAACAACCCTGTGATTCCGGCCATGAAAGCCTTCGACAATACAAGGAATAGCAATGATAAAGGACAAAATAACTCAGAAGGCTGAAGAGAAAATGAAGCCATGGCTCAGGCAAGAAGGCTCTGAATAGACAAGGCTGCTCTTCCTACCGTATTCCTTGACATCAAATGGTGTCTTGAAGGACTCCTGCGGGGAATCTTGATATTTAGTCACAACGTTCCAGGTTCCCAAACTAGAAAAGGGAAATGGAAGGATTTGTCACTGCTCCTGCTTTATCGATCCATGGCAACAAGTGTGAATGACAACCATGCATCCCCTTACCCGTACATACATGGTCACAATGAACATGTATATATTTTATTATCTTTGATCCTCATTTATGAGGGTGGGAATAATAAACTCAGTCTTGGAACAGATTGCCTGACAAGGTTTTATTATAAAAAAATATGAAGAAGCTGAAATTTGCCCCCCTCCCTTAGCCCTGAGTTCAAATTCCCACTTGTCCATGATACCCTTGGGTAGTTTTGCAGAATTTTCTTCATTCCCATTGTTCACCTTCCCTACCACACAGGTTTTAAAATTAATGTCCCTTATATACCACCACAGAAAAAGACAGAATTAAATGTAATGGACAAGTACAACAATAAAATATTTGTGAAACAGCTCAGAGTATTCATAGCTCAATTTGAAAACAAAAAACTTTACCCAACAATATTAGGTAAAGGTAAAGTTGGTAAAGGTTTTCCTTTGACGTGAAGTCCAGTCGTGTCCGTCTCTGGTGTGTGGTACTCATCTTCATTTCTACGCCGAAGAGCCAGCATTGTCCATGGACACCTCCAAGGTCATATGGCCAGCATGACTGCATGGAGCACCCTTACTTTCCCGCCGGAGCGGTACCTATTGATCTGCTCACATTTGCATGTTTTCGAACTGCTAGTTTGGCAGAAGCTGGGGCTGACAGCAGAAGCTCACGCCGCTCCCCAGATTCAAACGTGCGACCTTTCGGTCAACAAGCTCAGCAGCTCAGCGCTTTAACCCACTGCGCCACCGGGGTTACCCAGCAATATAGGATACCATAAATATTAATACTAACTTCGGCTCACTTTCTGTACATGTTTGGTGCAGGGCAATTTTACCTGACAATTTCCGGTAGATTGAATGACTGGGTCACTGGTGATCCGGGATCTAAAGTATTCTGGCTGACAATAATGCCTTCTGGTGTCTAGGAAGAGGAAACATGTTTATGAGAGTGTTCAAAGGATACAAAATCCCAGAATGTATTAGATATATAGGTTGCATCGCTCTTTTTTGAAAATCTGAAAGATTCCAAAAAGATTCCACTTTTTTCTTTGAAGAAATATATACATCTATTGGCCACTGAGTTTATCCTCAAGGAGTGCTTGCTTCATATCTGTCAAAATTTTGGTGGACTTGCTCTCTTTCTGTTTAGTCAATGGAGACATGTTACTGGAGGGGTGAGGGGTGCTGTAAATGGGATGTATCAATTGACCAAAGCTTTCTAACATTCCTTAAGCCTGTGGCAGCTGGATGCATTAGGATTTTCCCTTTCCATAAGGTATTCTTTTTACAGGGGTTAAGTTTAAATCAAGCCACAAAATCAAATTTTCTCCCACCCTCTTCCCTTTGTAGAGCGTGTTGCAGTAGTCTATGCGGGATGTAACCAGAGCGTGGACTACCGTGGTCAAGTCAGACTTCCCAAGGTACGGGTGGAGCTGGTGCACAAGCTTTAACTGTGCAAATGCTCCCCTGGTCACTGCCGAAACCTGGGGTTCCAGGCTCAGCGATGAGTCCAGGATCACACCCAAGAGCTAACAACAACTCCCCCTTAGAAAATGAAATTACGCTTTGATTTTTGTGTGCCTATGTGGGGGAGGGGAGGAGAGGGAAAATCGTTATTTAAAAGACGACTTTATTAATTGCACAACATTTTCTCAGCAACCCCAAAGCTAAAATGGAAATGAAATATTCAGAATTATGAATATTACTTGCTTTTCGGAAAGCCTGTAAAACTTTTCTTTTCCGGCAAGCTTTTGATAATTGATGAATTGTGGATTATTTTACACTATGTTTTGTATTTTGCACCTGTTTTCTATGTTGTACACCGCAATGAGTCGCCCTTGGGCTGAGAATTGCGGTATATAAGCGAAGTAAATAAATAAATAAATAAATAAACCCGGGATATGCCTGTTCTCGTTGCCTATTGTTATTGTTATGGTTATTTTTAAAGCTAATTGTATTGTTTTAATCTGTTTCTGTAAACCACTCCGAGCCAAACTGGGAGTAGCGGCATACAAGTTAAATAAATAAATAAATAAATTAGATTGTAATTCAACAATAATTAAAATGAAGGAAACAAAGAAAAAACCGGGTTGTTGTAGGTTTTTCTGGGCTATATGGCCATGTTCTGGAGGCAATTTTTCTCCTGACGTTTCGCCTGCATCTATGGCAAGCATCCTTAGAGGTAGTGAGGTCTGTTGGAAGTAGGAAAAATGGGTTTATATATCTGTGGAATGACCAGGGTGAGACAAAGGACTTTTGTCTGCTGGGGCTAGGTGTGAATGTTTCTTACAGACCCACCAAGAAAATCCAACAAATGCTACGTTCAGCAAAGGACAAGAGGGATCCTCTCACCTCTGCAGGAGTCTACCGTGTACCATGCAGCTGTGGACAAGTCTACATAGGGACCACCAAACGCAGCGCCCAAACACGCATCAAGGAACATGAAAGGCACTGCAAACTACTCCAACCAGAGAAATCAGTCATAGCAGAGCACCTGATGAACCAACCTGGACACAGCACATTATTTGAGAACACAGAAGCGCTGGACCACTCGAAAAACCACCATGTCAGACTACACAGAGAAGCCATTGAAATCCACAAGCATGTGGACAATTTCAACAGAAAGGAAGAAACCATGAAAATGAACAAAATCTGGCTACCAGTATTAAAAAACTCAAAAATTACAACAGTAAAACAACAGAGGGGAAACAAACAGGCACATAAAATCACTCTCAACAAAAGATTCCCCCCAGGCACTTCCAAGCCATTGAATGCTAATCAAGGTGATCAGCTGAAACATTCACACCTAGCCCCAGCAGACAAAAGTCCTTTGTCTCGCCCTGGTCATTCCACAGATATATAAACCCATTTTTCCTACTTCCAACAGACCTCACTACCTCTGAGGATGCTTGCCATAGATGCAGGCGAAACGTCAGGAGAAAAATTGCCTCCAGAACATGGCCATATAGCCCGGAAAAACCTACAACAACCCAGTGATTCCGGCCATGAAAGCCTTCGACAATACAAAGAAAAAGCCGTCCACATTCCAAACATAGAGATAAGCAAGTGGAAAGTAAAACTATATTACCCTTTCAGAGTATTTTGAGGTTTATGAAAAACACTGAAAGATATCACAACTTCAGATATTATGAATATTAGTGCAATTTAAGAAAGAGCTGACTCAAACAGAAATCAGAATTAAGCAAGATCTTAAACATAGAATCCAGGCAAATCTCAGGCATCACAAAACAGGTTGCACGGATTGAAGAACTGATTAAGGAAAAGCAGTCACAGTACATCAGACTGAGCAAAGAAAACAACTGAAGAAATAACAAAAAAATAATCAAATCAGAGCAAAATGCAACAACAAGTAGGTCCCCCCAGTTTGACACACTATAAGTTTTACAAACTGTGCATTCAGACATCCCAAATAAGGAGAATGGATAGAAACAAGTGTGCCACAAAAATATTATTGCGGATTTGAGAAATGTGGATTTGATATAAAGATGTGCGGGAATGAATGGAAGAATGAAAGCTGTATGGATGGAGTTAATAATTTTGGAAACACCAGGATAATATTAAGGCCTGCAATGACTAACTACCTGCTTGCTGGAATGTGGATAAAACCTGCTAATGAGATCTGAAAAGTAATCTCTGATAAGAACGGGACAGTGATAAAGGAAATGTTTGCAACCTTCCTTATGTTAAGAAGGAAGTCAACACCAATCCAGAAGAGTCAACATCTGGCCAGGAAACTGAAATGGAGCCAGGATGGAAGACGTCTATCATTAATTAACAACTTTGGGACTACATCAGCAGAATGTTCCTATAAAATGCTCAAATTGTGACTGACCTGAGGAGTCTGGTTCACCCGCTATGCTCTGTTCCATGGAAGGAGAGAGATAGTGTACCTATGGATAGTGGCAGATCTGCACGGGAGCAGTCTAGTCACTTTGGGGCTTCTTTCTCAAGGGAAGAGGAAGAAGTGCGCTTTTAGAGTCTTAGATTTTGTGCAGGGAGTCAGGTTCTGCAGTATGGGAAACAGAGATCTGGTCCTTGGCATTGTTCTTAGGGAAGAAGTTTTGGCATTTCAGCATTTAGAAGTTATGCTGTTACTGAAGTTCTGAAACTATGCATTGGCAGGCTGCAGGAAAGCAAGGTCTGGCCTAACAGGTGTTTCTTCAAGGAGGGAGAAAATGATATGGTAATATTTGGATGCATGTAGATGAATGTGTGTACATGTCGTGTGAATGTTGAGTGAAAATGTAATTCCCCTTTGTTTGTTTGTTAACCAATGTAATTGTAAATCCAGTGTAGTTGCATAGAATCTGCATGTCTGTATATCCAATGTCATTCTTTGTCTAAATGTTTTTTTCTGTAATCTGATATACCCTCTCACACTGGAAATTACAATAAAAAGAACCTATGCTTCAAAGTCATTGAAAAGTCATTCATGACATATGTTTGGATGGGGGAAAAACTCCAAAAAGTTCCACATGGAAAAGATGTTTATGCCCTAAGTGAACTGAATGAGAGTCAATTTCAAAGGGAGGGTCATGCTTAAAGCAAATAAACAAAGTGACGACTTCATGTCTAAGAATAATATTGTAAATGGACTTTGCTAAATAAATTGAGAACTCTGGAAGAGTAGAAAATAGAAACAAAAACTTTTTGATTTTATGTAGTGGGTTTGATCAACGAAAGGGGAATATCTATATAAATAAAAATGTAATGTTCGTTTGTGGGATTAACATAACTCAAAATCCACTGGACAAATTGACACCAAATTTTCTGCTACTAAATTATATTTATAGATATTGTAAGTACATTATTGTTGGTCTGTGTTGCCCCCTTCCCACACTGCTCCAAAATTGCTCCAAAATGGCAGGTTTTCTGTTGATTTCTGAAATATTCAAGTCTTGTCAATTCTCATCATCTCTCCTGTAGTGAATTGTCTGTATTTCCTGAGCTATAAATGTAGCCATTTCCTGGGTCCTTTGGACACAATACACCTATCAGGCCAACGAGTGACCATCACTCATAAAAACACTGAAAAGCACAGCGGAAGGGACTTAAAAACCCCAAAAATAAAAAATACATTACAACACACATGTAAAACCACATATATACACTAGGCTTGGGTGGTTTCATTCGTTAATTTCGTAATTCATTATTAATTCGTATTTAAATTAGCTTACGATCCAATATTGAGCCATGCAGGAATAGTGTGAGGAGTAATTAAGATTCGAAACAATTTTTCCAAATTATTTCGTAATTATTTCGTAATTATTTTTGCATGTCCGTTGTTTTATCACACCAACGGTCAACAACAGAGGGAGAGGGAAGCTTCAGAAGTTCCCCCTGTACCATTTGGAGGGTTTTTTAGCATATTGCGCAATCGCGTCCGCCATTAACGAATCGTTTCGTAATTTTACGAAATTTCGTATATTTCGAAATTTTTAAAAGGAAAATTTCAGAATTCTTAAAAAAAACAAAACGCAAGGGCCCCCCAAAAACAAAACGAGTTTAGAACCAAATTTTTCTGTGGTTACTAGGCCTGGTTGATCAAGAAAAAATTTGGTTCTAAAATCGATTTGTAATTGGGGTGTTTTTTTGTTTCGATATTTAAAATAATTACAAAATTTTCCCCCAAAAAAGTTTTGGTATTTACGAAATTTCGTAAATATTAATGAATTTTTTAGAATATTTTTTGTATTTTTTAAGAATAATATTAAAATAATATTAAAAAATATTTTAAAATGGAAAATTAACCAAAAAATGGCCCAAATGTGGACCAAACACAGGCAGGATACAGAAAATGAGAGCACACACCAACAGAAGAGTCTTTTCTTTTTTAGAATATTTTTTAAGAATAATATTAAAATAATATTAAAAAATAATATTAAAATAATATTAAAAAATATTTTAAAATGGAAAATTAACCAAAAAATGGCCCAAATGTGGACCAAACACAGGCAGGAGACAGCAAATGAGAGCACACACCAACAGAAGAGTCTTTTCTTTTTTAGAATATTTTTTAAGAATAATATTAAAATAATATTAAAAATAATATTAAAAAATAATATTAAAAATAATATTAAAAAAATATTTAAAAATGGAAAATTAACCAAAAAATTAAGAAACAAATTCACAAAAACCGAAGGAAGTAATTAATCCAAGCAAGGAATATAAGCAGCACTCACAGCAGCAAGGAATGAATCCAATCCAGTTGCTAGCCATTGCCAAGCCAAGAGCCAACCTCTTCTCTCTCCCTCGCCCTCTGCAGCAATGCTACGGCCGCGCGGAGCCGCTTTGAAAGGGCTCGCCGGCCAATCAAAAACAAACAGCCACGGAGCCACGGTGCACTGCTTGGGAGCGCCGGATTGGCTCCCAGGCACCAGCATCCTCCATCCAATTTCCGAAACGGGCGGAAGCTCGTTAAAAGGATGGGGGATGCCGCTTCGTTATTTTAAAACCCTTCCGGGTTTGAAAAAATGTTTTGATATCGCTTCGTAAATGCTCGGAATAACGAATGTTTTACGAATAACGAAATTAACGAACGAAACCGCACAGGCCTAGTGGTTACCCAAGCCTAATATACAGATATACACATAGCTACACACACAAAACACATATACATAGACTGGGCCACAGCAGCGCATGGCAGGGGACAGCTAGTTAAGAATAAAGGGGAAATACAATAAGATATTATACAGGAAAACTTGCTGAAATGCAGCAAGATTAATTTAATAGGGAAAATGGGGGTGGTATTGAGGTAATGAATAAAAGTTGAAATTACAAGAATTGAATTGTCCGTTATTTGTATTAATATTAGTCATGATTAAGTTTTAATTCTAAATATATTTGTTTATATTTAGAAGAAGTTGATGAAAGTAAATGAAAGTATATTAAAATAGTTTGATAGATTCCTTGGCTTTAGGAGGGAAGACATTGGTTGCGTTTTTAATGTCTTTTATCTGCTTATTTTTTTAATTCATTCATTTTTACTGGACACGTTGTTTGGACGCCTCTGTTAAAAACTTAGACAGGTCCCAGGATATGGGCCTGTCTGGATGGGCCTTTAGGCTGAATTGTTTTGAGGGGAAAATAAGATACGTCACTCTAATCTCTTTGAAGGAAGAGGATCTGTCCTTCTGTATTCATGATATTATGCAAACTTCTAAAGAAGAAGAAGAAGAATTTACTGCCTGCATCCATATCACACACTTGTGCATAAAATTCTCACCTCAAATTCAACAATCACATTTTTGTCCAAACGTTCCAGGCCATGACCCATAGAGAAGATACGATATCGCACTAAGGGAAAAAGTGTTGAAGGGAGTATTATTTATTTGTGATCAAGCCACATGTCAGCATCCTACAGAATAGCTTAATAATCCTTGTTCCCTTGTCAACGTTACTGTTTTGGACTACAGTTCCTAGACTTCTCACACTATCATGCACCAATGGAAAAGTGTGACATGTGCAGCACTATTAGCTTTCTGTTTGCAAACATTTGGTTCCTCATACCTCAAGGTCTCCACAAACAAGAAATGAGGAGAGATATCAAAATAATAATAATTTTAAGCTCAAATAAGCCACAAACTCAATAAAAACATTAAATTAGAAATTGATTTCAACCTTACCTGGGAGCTATTTTTATTGATTTTTTATTCTTGTCCAGTGACCTGGTGTGACTCATAAAAAATCCCAAGGCAGCAAAATGTATCATTAGGCATTCCAGAGTCATTTATTCCAATTTACACAGTAACATAAATGGAAATTAACTCTATAACCTGCTCTGAGTAAGGACAGAGCAGATAAACATCAATATTTCTCCATTCTGTGGAGAAGGGGTGAAGGCGAAGAAGAATGTAAAAAGCAGCACAGAATGACTCCAACAGACATTACACATAAGTGGAACCAGCAGAAGGATTTACCTGAAGACCCAGGTGTGTAGATAGTTTTGTCTGTCTGGGTGAAGATATAGCCACTTTGGAAGGAGACCAGAACCACCTTCTCAAGTGTGAAATGAGGACTAGTAGCCTGGACAATGACAAACTGGTTTTTCTTAGGATCCTTCTTTAGGTCTTTTGCAGGAACCTGTTTGGAAAAGTCAGGAGCTAGAAAAAAATTCTTCTGAACCATTTCTAGCAGAGTAAACATGGACAGAGAAGTTATGTTCTGGTAAGTTTACCCTAGTCTACAGTGAGGAAATGCAAGATGTCTCTCTTTTTAAAAAATCATAATGTAAGGCTCAATTTGGTAATTTGGATCCTGCCTTTGTTCTCTCTGTATCAATCCAAATGCAGTGTATTTGTGGAAGAATAATGCAGTGTATTTGTGGAAGAATAATGAGAAGTGTAGCAATCAAGCTTCTCATTTCTCACACACAATTATTATAATACACCTACATGTATATATACCATATTTCGTTAAAGGCTACATTAAACTTTTTGCAGACTGCTGAAGAGCTCTTCTTAAGCCTCTTCCTCTCCTAGGAGCAATTTCTTTTGTCCTGTCTCAGTAAGGGAAAATACTACCACTTTGCCCAAATATTCAAAGACTCATCTGGAACTAAGTCATTAATATAACATTTCTAGAGAGGAATATTTTATAGAGTGTGGATAGGAGAAACTGTAGGTATCTAATCTGTGCATAAATATATTTTCCTTTCCTATAACTAAGCTTGGCAGCACAGGTGATTTCCTCTTTCCTCCCCCATCCAGCTATATCCCAAGAATCATCAACAAACAATGCTATGCATGTCCTACTATTCAATATAATTAAGGAATGAATTTTCAGGAAGAGTCTACACTTGTAGAGAAATCTCCAGAGTGCCCTCATGAAGTCAGCCGGGAACCAATTAAGGGGTTATATTTCAAATCATTATTGGAAAAAGGGATTTTACTGTGCAGATAATTACATAGGAAATTCTAGCACCTGTTTGACGTCTGAATGGGAATGACACAAATCACAGAGTACTGATATGCATGAAGGGCTTTCTTTCACATGCTTTTGTAGGAGTTTGTTGTCTGGCAGCCAATTTGAAACTAGTTTTGAACTGCATGAAATGGTCAGTGTAGATAATGCCATAGGGTGAGTCCAGGTTTTCATGTTAATTCAGACTTGCCACCAGATAAATTACTGTATATTGGAGTGCACCCTGATTTTTTGAATGCACAGAGTGGCATCTTCTATAAGTATCCCCTTTTGGAGCCGGTACAGGGCTACTTCTTAAGGAGAATAATTAGAATAGATTAAGAAACCCTGGTCCAAGCAGTGAGAACAGAACTTTGAGAAAAGTTTTTAATTACTGGCTAAGGATTCTTCAAATGGACCCAAGGAGACTCTTAAACTCTGTCTAGAAGAACAGTTAGGCCTACAGCGACCTAACCTCTAGGTCAGGGGTCCTCAAACTTTTTAAACAGAGGGCCAGGTCACAGTCCCTCAAATTGTTGGAAGGCCGGATTATAATTTTTTTAAAAAAAAAAAACGAATGAATTCCTATGCACACATCTTATTTGTAGTGCAAAAAACACTTTAAAACAATACAATAATTAAAAAGAACAATTTTAACAAATATAAACTTATGAGTATTTCAATCAGAAGTGTGGACCTGCTTTTGGCTGATGAGAAAGGATTGTTATTGTTGTTGTGTTCTTTCAAGTCATTTCAGACTTAGGTTGACCCTGAGCGAGGGCCGGGTAAATGACCTTGGAGGGCCATATCCGGCCCTCGAGCTTTAGTTTGAGGACCCCTACTCTAGGTATTCCAGCTTGTGTCTGTCTGACATACCAGCTAGACTTTGGACTTTCCCATCTACTTTACCTAGGACATTTGGCCCAGGAAACATTCAAACAAAGAGTTCTGGATATCAGGCCAGCTTCAAATCTCTAAACTGGTTAGCCAAAAAGAAAACAACATTTGGCACAGAAAAGTACCTTAGGATGAACCTCACACAGGGACAGAAAATAGTTTTTACCAGAACTAGATTTGCGCAACTTAATTCTATGGTAAGAACAGGACAATTCCAACAAATACCTTACCACGAAAGAACATGCAACTGTGCATATTTTGTTTGATTGTTGTCCATATGCCAAGGTGAAAGCCCAGTATTTACAACTGGGTTAGAACAACCAACTGGGATCCAACCAACTGTCAAACAGTCTTATATTCTTTCTGGGGAGAATCTACACTTAGTCCATTGCACAGCCAAATTCATTATAAAAACTATACACCTGAGAGATCTCTTTCTCTCACATAATGGGGTCTCTTGCCATGGTGATGAACTTATCTAAATTCTCCAACCGATTCTTTACACTCATCACTTTACTTCCCTGGCTTTCATCTTACAATTTAATCCCAATTTAATCCCATTTTGCCAAATTTATTACTTAATCAAGTTTTACTGTATTTAATTTATTTCAGTTAACTATTACAGGAGTTTTAGCCTAGTGATTACTGTCTATTTGTCTGTGCATCTTTGTTTTTTTAAAACTTTTTTTGCTTATATGGTCAGTGGACTAATCAATAAAAATATCAATAACCTATAATAATGATCTATAAGTATCACTGCATACCTACCTTTATGAGAGGAGTCACCATCATGCCATTGTCTGCGTTCATTGTAGCTTTGATTTGATACAAGACGTTTGACTTATGTGGGAAATCATGGACAGAGATAGTCACTTCTGTAGCAGCATTGAGCCCATGAGCTTCCACCACAATTTGCTCTTCACTCTCCACCCACAGGACACTGGGGACAACCATGGAGGAGCTGCAAAGCAATAAAACATTATCCATTGAATTGTTTGCAGTAGCTCATTGATAGAGTACATCACCACACTGCATCTTTAACTTCTCTTGCTTTAGAAAAGTAAAGGAACAAATGATTTAAGTGTAGTACTAAAGCTACATAAAGAGATTGAACTGCTGGTTACTTTCAACTAATTTCCAGAGTTATCTCCCAAGTTGGCAGGATCACAGGGGAGGAACCAGACAAAACACAATCTATAGACTTCAACGGCAGAGTAGGCAGATGACAATACGGTGCATATTACAACAGCTGTGGTGGCGGACTTGAGGATGAAGGCTGAAACAGATGAGAGGCCACCATTCATCTGGTTAACCATGCTACAGTGTCTGTGAAGATCGTGTTGATAGGGTGTGTGTGCACTGATTTCCATGCATAAAACGAATTCACACACAGGCATCTTCCAAAACATACCAAAATCAAGAAGTCTCATGGCAACTGGTAACTGGCAAGTTGCGGTCCAGAATGTGAGCTGTGGATAAGGATTCAGTCGTTCTAACTCAATATCCAAGTATTGTATTGTATTCATGACTGTTCACCCCATATGGGGAGGGGGGTAGAAAAGGTTCCCTAAACATAGTTTGTCTCTCTTACTCATTCCTGACAAGACTGCTACATCCAGACAGGGATCACCAACTTGGAGTCAAAAAAGCAAAATGAACTTTGGAACATGGAACATGCAGATACTGTCAGAATCATAGATAATGAATGCCCTGAATGTAGGACTACTATTACTGCAAGGGACCTGAGATGCTTTAACATAGACATAGCAGTGCTTCAAGAGACCCAGGGCACTTACAGACAGGGGGAAAACCCACAATGAAGCCAGTTTAAAAAACCCAAAACCCAGGCTTTTCTGGGGGAGGAGTGTCTGTCTAGATGCCCTCACAACATTTAACGGGAGGGCACCGAGACACCCAGAAGCCCCCCAAACTAGCCTTAAATTTTTTATAAGCTCATCAGGCCTCCATCAAGCTGTTCCGGCAGTTGTCCTGGTACATAGAAATGATGTACCCATGGGTGCTCAAAATGATGAGATGGCTGTGAGGACTGACCCCCAGGTAATCCCAGGACAACCTGGTAGTCAGTCCCCACAGGCCCAATGCCCCATTAGACCCAGGCCTTCCAGGAAGAGCCGGGTCTACTGGGGTATTTAATTAATTCAGAATAACTGCGGTTATTCCAAATTAATTCACTTTTTATCATGTGGATACCTCCAGTAAAAGCCTGACAAGCCCTGTCTGGGTGCCCCAAGAGAGTAAGAGAGGAACAGCCGAAGGAAGAAAAAGGGGGCTCGCCTTCTTCTGGAAGGGACTTCCTGAACAAGAATGATGAATAGACAGAGTTGGCTTTGCGATCAAGAGCAACCTGGTGAAGCATCTATCAGAAGCACACATTAATATTAACAAACAACTCTCACGCCTCCAAATTAATCTTGCCAAAACCCAGCAAGCAACTGTCATAAGTACCTATGCACCTATACTCGATGCTGATGAAAACATCAAAGAAAATTTCTATTGTCAGCTGGATACCATCCTTTTTGAGGTAACGAAGGAGGAAAAAGCATCCTCCTGGGTTAGTTTATTGCAAGAATTGGGCGAGATTTCAACTTGTGGCCAGGAACTATAGGGAAAGATAGGGTTGGAAACAGCAGCTCGAATGATATCCTTCTCACCAAATATGCGGAACACAACCTTGTTATTACCAACACACTCTTCCACCAAAAAATAAGTTGAAAACATCATGGAAGCATCCTCAATCAAAGGACTGGCACCTCAAATAATGTAATTACCACATGCATTACCAAGGAGGCTGTCCAGACCTTGAACCGATGCTTGGCCGCTGTGTCGGACTGGATGAGGGCTAACAAATTGAAATTGAATCCAGACAAGATAGAAGTTCTCCTGGTCAGTCGAAAGGCCGAGCAGGGCATAGGGTTACAGCCTGTGTTGGATGGGGTTACACTCCCCCTGAAGACGCAGGTTCGCAGCTTGGGAGTGATCCTGGATTCATCGCTGAGCCTGGAATCCCAGGTTTCGGCGGTGGCCAGGGGAGCTTTTGCACAGTTAAAACTCATGCACCAGCTGCGCCCATACCTTGGGAAGTCTGATCTGGCCATGGTAGTCCACGCTCTGGTTACATCCCGAATAGATTACAGCAATGCGCTCTACGTGGGGCTGCCTTTGAAGACGGTTTGGAAACTTCAGCTAGTCCAACGGGCGGCAGCCAGATTACTAACTGGAGCGGCATACAGGGAGCATACCACCCCCTTGTTATGCCAGCTCCACTGGCTGCCGGTCCACCTCCGAGCCCAATTCAAAGTGCTGGTTTCAGCATTTGATTCCATCTCAAGAAACAAACTATGGGGAAAGCTGAATAAGACACTGAAAGACAAAATACTTCTAGGCCTTATCAAGACCCTTTACAGGGACAGCAAACTTCAGATCAGATGTGGCAACCTGGGCCAACTTTCTGGTGAGATATTCATGTCCAGAGGGGTATGATAAAGATGCATTCTTGCCCCCACTCTATTCAACAAATTCATTAATGATATGGAGGAGACACTTCTGGATTCCAATGGTCACTTGCCCAAGCTTGGAACTAGAAGTATCTCCTTATTTCTTTATGCAGATGATGCCGACATCACCTCACGCTCCAGGGAAGGTCTACATTACCTACTAAGGAAATTCCTGAACTACTGTTCCCAGAACGACCTAAAAATCAACTATGTAAAATCTAAAGTTCTGGTATTTGAAAAAATATTTTCCCCCTGCCATTGGTCTCTTAATGGGCATACCTTAGAACAGGTCAGAAGTTTCCAATATCTGGGGACTAAATAGAACAAGCTGTGACCTAACAGATGTTACTGTATCACAACTCCCATCAGCTGTAGGTCATGATGAGGAATTCAGGAAATGTAGTCTAGCATGTGGAGGGCCTAACAATAACAATAATAATAATAATGATACAAGGATTTAAAAAATTGAACTGCAGAGACTCTGGCACAAGCCAGTAAAGGTGGTCCCAGTGGTGATCAGCACACTGGTTTTTTTTTTTTTTGTGGTCATGTCAGGAGTGACTTGAGAAACTGCAAGTCGCTTCTGGTGTGAGAGAATTGGCCGTCTACAAGGACGTTGCCCAGGGGACGCCCGGATGATTTGATGCTTTTATCATCCTTGTGGGAGGCTTCTCTCATGTCCCTGTATGAGGAGCTGGAGCTGATAGAGGGAGCTCATCCGCCTCTCCCCGGATTCGAACCTGCGACCTGTCGGTCTTCAGTCCTGCCGGCACAGGGGTTTAACCCACTGCGCTACCGGGGGCTCCAGCACACTGGGTGAAGTGCCTAAAGACCTTGGCTTGCACTTAAATACAATTGGTGCTGAAAAAATTACCATCTGCCAGCTGCTAAAGGCCACCTTACTGGGATCTGCACACATTATTCACCAATACATCACACAGTCCTAGACACTTCGGAAGTGTCCAAGGTGTGATCCAATACAACAGCCAGCAGAATGATCTTGTTTGCTGTGGACTCATCTTGTTGTGTTTAAAATAATAATAATAATAATAATAATAATAATAATAATAATAATAATATATTTATTTATTTATTTTTAACCCGCCCCCTCTCCCCAAAGGGACTCAGGACATCTTCCAAACATAAAACCTCAAACTGGCAAACATCCAATGCCATCAAAAACATTAATACATATAATTAAAACAAGATAAAAAGACATTGACTAAAAGAATGAGTCAAACAGTCAAGCATCAAGGAACATATAGTCAGACAGTTAAAACTGTATAAGATATAAAGATATAAAAATATAGCTCTTCAATAAATTACAATAAAACAATCAATGTCAACTTAATCCATAAAATAATCAGTGAAGGACAGCCATGAAAGGAGAGATTTGGCCCATGGGCCTTGAGTTTGACAGATGTGGCTAATCTTAGACGACAGGATAAAAGTTATAGATGGATCAGGTACAAAGGAGTTCATGTATTCTTACATGTTTTTTGCACACTTCTGCTGTATTGTAAAAAAATAACACTCCCTGTGTCAGGATGCATTTATACTGTAGAATTAATGCAGTTGGTCATCACTATAACTGCCATGGCTCTATGCTATGTAACATGTAATATAAACAACTGGCCAATTTACAAAGATTTTTTTAAAAAAGGAGGGAGGAGAATTAATATTATAATCTCAACAAGAATTCAATAGTATAGACCAGAAAATTTCCTGGTTTCAATACTGGCAAATTAAGGAGAAATATAAGACAGATAAAGAATTAGGATTTATACAGGGAAAAAACTTCTGGAATAAAATAATGGAGTCAGAGCAAAAATTAATCTATATAAATAAAAATGTAATGTTCGTTTGTGATACCACCAGAACTCAAAAACCACTGGGGGAATTGACACCAAATTTGGACACAAGACACCTAACAACCCAATGTATGCTCTCCACTCAAAAAATTGATTTTGTCATTTGGGAATTGTAGTTGCTGGGATTTATAGTTTACCTACAAGCAAAGAGCATTCTGAACTCCACCAATGATGGAATTGGGCCCAATTTAGCACACAGGGCTCCCATGACCAACAGAAAAAACTGGAAGGGTTTGGTGGACATTGACCTTGAGTTTGGGAATTGTAGTTCACCCACATCCAGAGAGCACTGTGGACTCAAACAATGATGCATCTGGACCAAACTTGGCACGGATATTCCATATGCCCAAATATGAACACAGATAGAGTTTAAGGGAAATAGACCTTGACATTTGGGAGTTGTAGTTACTGGGATTTATAGTTCATCTACAATCAAAGAGCATTCTGAAACCCACAAACAACAGAAATGGGGCAAACTTCCCACACAGAACCCCCATGACCAACAGAACATACTTAAGGCCATCCAGTCCAACTCTCTTCACCAGGGCAAGAAAATGTAAACAGAGCCCTCCTGACAAAGAGCCATCCAGCCATAGATAGAGATAGATATGATTCTCACACACACAAACAGATATAGTATCATAGATTTGAAAGAGATCCTTAAAGAAGGACTATAATATGTTGCATATTCCAGAGTAGGCAAACCAGACACTCTCCACATCAACACTGACAAAGAAACAACAAGAAACACTGTTTACTCACAAGCATAATGGAATTATATATATTAGAAACCAACACTTTCTCATTACTTTATTTTCCAGATCACCAGACTGGGCCACAGCAACGCGTGGCAGGGGACAACTAGTAACAAAGATATACAGAAAACTACTAGAATGGTCATTGGAATTAAAGAAAGAAAAGAATTATATGAAAAGATGGAACGAAAACATAGGAAGGAACATTAGAAGAGAAGAATGGGAGGAAATATGGAAAAGGAGGATAAAATTTACATATGCAACAGACTTGAAAGAAAATTGGGTGAAGATATCACAAAGATGGTACATGACTCCAAAGAAATTGGGAAAATTTTACAACAATACAAGCACGAATTGTTGGAAATGTAGAGTAAAGGAAGGCTCCTACTATCACATGTGGTGGACATGTGACAGAGCAAAGGGATATTGGAAGAAAATACGAAAAGATATTGAAAAAATGTTATCAATACAAATCCCATGGAAATCAGAACTTTTTTTAATTAGGTATATACGACATAAAAATAGACAAAAATTCAGACAAACTTCTGTTCTTGAATCTGACGGCAGCAAGAATGTGCTTTGCAAAAAGATGGAAACAAGAAGAAATACCAGAGGAGGATGAATGGCTGGTGAAAATATTAAAAATTAGAAATATGGATAAACTCACACACCTCATATCAAAGAACAAAGAAATGAAAATGATAGAAACAGACTGGAAACAAGTTACAGATTATTTGAGAAAAAAGAAGAAATTGATCTTGACCTAAAAAGGACATAACTGAACGAAAGCAAAAAGGAAGGGAAAAGGAAAGGAAAAAGAAGGAAAAGCAGGAAAGATGAATGGAATGAAGACTTCTAGAAGATACCAGAGAGTAAAAACTTTTTTCTTTTCTTTTCTTTCTTTGTATTTTTTCCTTTTTCACTCATTTTCTTTTCTTCTATGCTTTTCTTGATTTTACGCAATTTTATATGCTGGAAATACTCAATAAAGATTTTTTTTTTAAAAAAAGGAGTTTGTCTATTCTAACATGTTTTTTGCACACTTCTGCTGTATTGTAAAAAAAATAACACTCCCTGTGTCAGGATGCTGTAGAATTAATGCAGTTTGTCATCACTTTAACTGCCATGGCTCTATGCTATGTAACACTGGTATCTGGAGTTTGTTGAGACACCAGAACATTAAGTAAACAAGACTAAAAACTTTATAAAACTCCAGTGCCCATAATTCCATGGCAGCTGAAATGGTATCAAACTGCATTAATTCTACGGAGTAGATGCACCCTCGGAAATTCCGAGCCCTACCATTTGGCAGTAAAATCACCCACTTTGAGCAACAGATGGTGTGAAAAACAGAAATGTTACATTGAAATGATTTCAGCTTTTTGTTATATTTTAATCACCATAATGGTGTAGCAGTGGGAGAAGGAATGTGGTGTGGATTTAAACCCATTATCACTTGAAGCTGCAACAAATCACCCCTAAAGTATAATTTTAGGGAGGAAGCAACAAAGCAGAATGTGTCTTGAGCAATGACATTACTTAGCACACAAACTGGAAATGCTGGGAGATGGGAATGCTGAATTTTATCATGTACTTACAGTTGGCTGTGGGAAGAAGTCGGGAAACACACCAGGAGGGCAGCCACCGTATACAGAAGGGACCTCTCCATCATGAACTGGAGGGCCATTTGTCAGAGGTAGCTGCAACCCAGTATTTATTATAGGATACAGTTACCAAGCCAAGCCCTTTGGCAAGAGCTTAATGTGTTATCAGCACATAGGGAGGGGTTTGCACTTGATGAGAATTTCAAAAGTAAACATCAGGCCTGTCAAAAACATATATAATACTAATTCTCTCCTAATCCGTATTTTCATAGAATCATAGAATCAAAGAGTTGGAAGAGACCTCATGGGCCATCCAGTCCAACCCCCTGCCAAGAAGCAGGAATATTGCATTCAAACACCCCTGACAGATGGCCATCCAGCCTCTGTTTAAAAGCTTCCAAAGAAGGAGCCTCCACCACACTCCGGGGCAGAGAGTTCCACTGCTGAACAGCTCTCACAGTCAGGAAGTTCTTCCTCATGTTCAGATGGAATCTCCTCCCTTGTAGTTTGAAGCCATTGTTCCGCGTCCTAGTCTCCAAGGAAGCAGAAAACAAGCTTGCTCCCTCCTCCCTGTGGCTTCCTCTCACATATTTATACATGGCTATCATATCTCCTCTCAGCCTTCTCTTCTTCAGGCTAAACATGCCAAGCTCCCCAAGCCGCTCCTCATAGGGCTTGTTCTCCAGACCCTTGATCATTTTAGTCGCCCTCCTCTGGACACATTCCAGCTTGTCAATATCTCTCTTGAATTGTGGTGCCTAGAATTGGACACAATATTCCAGGTGTGGTCTAACCAGAGCAGAATAGATCCTTTCTTCAGAAATGGAGATGGAGTAATCAGTCAACATCCCATGAACTGGATCTAATGTAGACTGATGAAACCTATAAAAGTACAAACTGAAAACTGACAACTTTCTATCTATTCCTCTTTGTCGCACACAAACACACAATACTTGCCAGAGTATTGTGGAAAGAGTGGCAAACGTGTGAACCTTCCCTTCCCACTCTCAAATCCATTTTCTGACTGCTTTGCCCCTCCAAAATCACCAAGAAATAGTTTTAGATTTCCCCCTTTTTCTGGCGAATATTTGTCTTTATGATGTCATAAAATACTTTCCCTGCTTGTTTTAGTGGTACCTAATTTCTCTACTTAACAGCTCAAGCTGTTTTCGAACAGCTTAGGTCAACAGTAAGCTGAGCTGACAGTCAGGAGCTCATGCTGACCCGGGGTTTCGAGCTGGCAACCTTTCAGTTGATAGATCCTTCCCCATTCCCTTCCCCACCCCTTCCCCTTCCTTTCCCTTCCCTTCCCTTCCCTTCCCTCCCCCTTTCCCTTCTCCCTTCCCCCTTCCCCTTCCCTTCCCCTCCCCCCTCTGGTTCCCCCTCCTTCTCCCTTTTCTCCTCTTCCTTCCCTTTCCATTTTCATTTTCCACAGTATCATCCTTACACTCTTCAGCTGCCCACTTGCAGAATTCAAGTTATTTGTTCTTCTTCAAAGAAGATTGAGATGATAAGCAACCATGCATTATACAGGAAGTCACCACCTTTAATTTTCAACTATCGCAAAAGAAATGTACAAGCAGCTGAAAAGGAAGATACTAAAAAAAAGAAAAAGAAAATCAGAGTATTTTGCTGTTAAGAACTGAAGCATCCCTTATGTCAAAAGGGATGCTTCTTACAAAAAATATGTCTAAAACAAGACAAGAAGTATTGGCTAAAACAGCGAATATACAAGTAGTGAACAAAATGAAGTACTTAGGACTGATTATTATGGCAAAAAAATCCCAATTACAAAAAAAAAAAAACTATGAAAGCAAATGGATTGACATAAAAAAAAGACTTAAAGACTTGGAAATACTTAAATCTTTCACTTTTAGGCAGAATAGCCGCAATTAAAATGTTAATTTTGCCAAAGATGCTCCACTTATTCCAAAACCTACTTATAGTAAGAAATACACAACTCTTTAAAAACTGGACAATGGACCTATTGAAATTTATATGGCAAGGAAAAAAACCAATGATAAAGATGCTAAATTTGATGAAAAAAAAAGAGGGGGTTTCAGTTTACTGGACTTAAGGACATATTTCAAGGCATGCTGCTTAACTTGGATTAAAGATTGGCTAACACTACAAAGACCTAAAATTTTAGCATTGGAAGGTTTCAACCTAAGAAGAGGATGGCACGGATATATTTGGTATGAAAAAAGGAAAATAGAAAAAAAAAGATAATCATTTTATTTGGGCTGCATCGATAAAAGTTTGGGAAAAATATAAAAATAATTTATATTTAAAGACACCAATGTAGATATCGCCATTGGAAGCCTGTCAAAAATGAGAATTGGGAGAAGATCTATGACCAACCTACAGGGATATGTTGACAAAAAAATTGCTAAATTTTAATTAAGGAAACAGGAAGATATAAGTCAAAAAATTTAAAATACCTCATGGTTTTAGTATAACCAAATAAAAGAGCATTTTAAATTAGATAAAAAATTGGTTTTATGGGAAAAGACCCTTTCTGGGAAAGAGTGATATTAATGGAAAAGAAAACAATCACAAAATTATACGAGACTAGCAGTCCCCTGCCATGCGTTGCTGTGGCCCAGTCTGATGATCTGGAAAATAAAGTAATGAGAAAGTGTTGGTTTCTAATATTTGTAATTTCTTTATGCTTGTGGTTAAACAGTATTTTTTTCCTGTTTCTTTGTCAGTGTTGATGTAGAGATTGTCTGGTTTGCCTACTCTGTAACATGCAACATTTCATTGTCCTTCTTTAGGGGTCCCTTTCAAATCTTTGATACTATATCTGTTTGTGTGTGTCATATACATATATGTGTGTGTGTGTGTGTGAATGACTGGATGGCCCTTTCTTACCCTGGTGAAGGGAGCTGGACTTGATGGCCTTAAGGCAGCATTTCTCAACCTTGGGTTTGGGACCCCAGGGGTGGTGGTAGCGAGGGGGTGTCAGAAGGGTTGCCAAAGACCACCAGAAAAACACAGTATTTTCTGTTGGTCATGAGGGTTCTGTGTGGGAAGTTTGCCCCAATTCTGTCGTTGGTGGGGTTCAGAATGCTCCTTGATTGTAGGTGAACTATAAATCCCAGTAACTACAACTCTCACATGTCAAGGTCTATTTTCCCCAAACTCCATCTGTGTTTATATTTGGGCATATTGAATATTCGTGCCAAGTTTGGTCCAGATCCATGGTTGTTTGAGTCCACAGTATTCTCTAGATCAGTGGTTCTCAACCTGGGGTCCCCAGGTGTTTTTGGCCTACAACTCCCAGAAATCCCAGCTAGTTTACCAGCTGTTAGGATTTCTGGGAGTTGAAGGCCAAAAACATCTGGGGACCCCAGGCTGAGAACCACTGCTCTAGATGTAGGTGAACTACAAATCCAAAACTCAAGGTCAATGCCCACCAAACCCTTCTAGTGTTTTCTGTTGGTCAGGGAAGTCCTGTGTGCCATATTTGGTTCAATTCCATCATTGGTGGAGTTCAGAATGCTCTTTGATTGTAGGGTGTACTATAAACCCTAACAACTACAACTCCCAAATGACAAAATCATAATTTTTGAGTGATGGTCACTCCTTGTGTTGTGAGACGTTTTGTTGCCAAATTTGGTGTGATTTTGTTCATTGGTTCTTTGGTTTTTTATGTACTCATTACGCACAGAGCAGTTTTATATATATAGATACTACAGTGGTCCACAGAAACAGAGCAACTTAAAGAGTGTATGGTGAAATGGTCCCAAAATTTAGGGACAAATATCAAATTAGAGGAATGGGAAAAAGTGTGGTTGAAAAAGATCAAATATATCTATGCATTAGATCTTAAAGAAAACTGGTATAAGATGATGTACAGATGGCACATCACCCCCTATAGACTATCAAAATATGCCAAATAAATGTTGGAAATGTGGTAAACAAGTGGGTACTTTTTATCATTTATGGTGGTCTTGTGATAAAGGAATTTTGGAGGAATAAACATGAAAGAACACAGAAAATATTACAAACTAATTTTAAATTAGAACCAAAATCTTACTTACTGGGAATGATACACTTTCAAAAGGACAAAGAGAAAGAACTCCTGTGCAATTACCTATCAACAGCTGCCAGAATAATTTATGCAAAAAGCTGGAAAAATGAAGAAACACCCTCGACGGACCAATGGTTATTGAAATTGATGGAGATTATGAACATGGACAGATTGACTAACCTAATGGCAACACCTCAACAGAGAAGGAAACTCCAGATAGATTGGACTATGGTAAAAGATTACCTTAGAAAAGAAAATATAGAAATAATGATATAAAGACTTTATTAAGCTCCTAAATACATATAGAAAAACTTAATTATTAAAAATGAAGTAGAATAAGGAAGAAAGGTGGGATCTTTGATAACAATGACAACATAATACAACCATACATTTTAATACCACCACCAAGAAGCAGATGGTAGTCAAATTATAAATAGAGACTGTTCAGGGTTTGGCTTTTTTTTTAGTCAATTTTTTTTCATTTTTTTATTACTATATTGTATTTTTTCTCTCTCTCCTGTTTTCTCTCATTTCCTACTTTTCTATCTTCTACACAATGTTCAGGGGCGGCTCAACCCATTACGCAAAGTAAGCATTTGCAGTATAGTTGATTTTGCCCAGGGTCGCTCTTGAGGTGCTCTTGGGGGAAAATAGACCTTGATATATGCAAGTTGTAGTTACTGGGATGTATAGTTCACCTACAGTCAAAGAGCATTCTGAACTCCACCAATGATGGAATTGAACCAAATATGGCACACAGAACTTCCACGACAAACAGAAAATATATATCAATGATTGGTTGGGGGGGGGGGGGCAAAATACTGTTTGCTTACTGTTGAAAATTACCTAGGGCCGCCTCTGACAATGTTCCCCCACTTTCCTTGTAATAACAATTTAATTGGGGGGAAAAGTCAAAAAGGGAGCAACCCATGCACAGAAACAGATCTTCCTTCTGAAATGGTGGTTGGTGGTTGAAGTGTGGAGGAATGGGGATGTTGGTTTTGTGATGTATATTGGGGAAAGCATTTCCCTTCGTTGTACAGTGACAATACAGTTAGTCTATCT